ATAGATAGATATTCAGACAGATGAGCAGGATAAATAGATGATAGATAGATATAATATAGATGATATATAGAGACAGATAGATAAAAGACAGATATATAGATATAGATGAGATGACCTAGCTTCCTGGAGAAGGCTGTATTTTTTTTGTGGGGGGGAGAGCGTAATTGAAATAAAGAGATGACCAGCAGCCAGGTGGAGGGACTCCATTACAGGAGCAATGGGACACTCCTGGAAGACGTGAAAGACCAGGGCAGTGATGGATGCTCCTGGAGAACATCAACATGGTCATTGAGAGACGACAACGACTTGATGGCCTATCAGTGACCATTCAATCAATTCTGGATGGTTGAAAAAAGTTGTGAGTCTCCAGAGTCGCGAATCTTTGATGGGGGTTGAAGTCCACACACCTTAAAAGTTTCCAAGGTGGAGAAACACTGTTTGAAATCATCCTCCCACCTCAACCCCCAATTTAAGCAAAGTTAAATATTGTAATGGAATGTTTGCCTTACACTCTGGCACTCTTAAGTGGTTCAAACTCGGCTGCAATTGCAGGATTTGTTTGTTCTTCTCACTGTTTCTATTTAGGAGTTGAGTGAACAGAGGGGTGCTAAATACCAGTTTTACACCATCTTTCAATTACCATCCCACAGATTAAGATAATAGGGTACCTCAGCTATCAGCATATCCTGGAATTATTCCCTGGGCGCCGAGTACCAATGATTGGGCTTAAATCCAGCTTCATTCAAGCTCAGACTAATGTTAGCGTTGACTAACATATCTCCTAGACCATTTCGAATTGGTCTATTCTAAGTATGCTGATTCTGGATCCATTACACAGAAATTAGTATCGTTGGGTACAATATAGAAACTGTACTTCTGTTCAGCCTCATGCCAGTAGTCCTCAATTGGCAGTTTAGTGTCTGTTTAAAGTCCTAACGGTGCTAAAAAAGCTTCTTGCAATTATGACCGTTATAATATCCCAACAATCCCATGATCGAAATCTAGGTGCTTGGCAACCGACATGTATGTAACAAAGATTGCAGCATCCCAGGATTGTATGATCACCGTTTCCCAGCCAGCTTCGGACAAGCTGTCCAGAGAGGTGGGGCGGGAAAGCCGGATTTGCTTAACAACAACCACAGGATTCACTTAACAACCATGGCAAAAAAGATGGTAACATTAGAATGATTCACTTAACAATTGCTTTGCTTAACAATGAAAGCTCTGAAAGTTGTGATCATACGTTGAGGACTATCCGAGCTTCATTTTGCAATTCCAAATTTTTGGAAATGCTTTTATGTTCAGCTGGCAGAGAGAGACAATGAATAGTCACACCAGTCCTTAAAGCTCACATTAAACTTTTTTAAAATGCACCAGTCCTTCTACTTTGTGCTAACTCAGGGGTTGGCAACCTTAAATACTCAGAGCCATAAAGGTCCTAACCGGAAGGCCCCCACCCCAGATCAGTTCTGGAACTGACCGGAAGTTTGCTTCTCCCACCATAGAGTCTCCTCCTAGCGCGGCATCCTTTTTCCTCTACCTGTCCTAACTGAAAGCTCTATCAATTCTGGAGCTGACCAGCGACAGGGAGCCACAGGAAGAGGGGTGAAAGAGCCACATGCGGGTCCAGAGCCGTGGGCTGCTGACTACTGTGCTAATGGAAGCCATTTCTCCATCCTTCCAGTGTAAATAATCCATGCACTTTTTTTTAAAAAAAAGAACCTTTTAAGAAAAAATCCTCCCCTTTCATATTTCTTCCCAGGGAGTGGGGTGCACAGCGCTCCTTGTCGCAGTGGCTGCAGATAAACTGGAATTCACCAGAGCAGAAAAACACGTCCATAATTTCATGATGGATATCCAGTGTGCCAAAGAGGTAAGCGAAACCCTTTGCTTGTTGGAATGCCAGATGGGCAGAGAAATTCGCTTTAGGAATATTTTTGTGTTTCAGCGAACGGGACCCAAAGTGACTATAGCAATCATTTCTTTTGCCTCTCCCCTCCTCTTCCTCCTGAGTAGCAAAGGAACTCAGAGAGATGGGACACTCCAGTTAGAGCTTGGGTGCTTCGTTTTTCAAAAGGCCAAGGAGTGGATAGGGCTGCACAATTTTGTTTTTTTCTGGCTGCTTTGGTGTAAGCTGGAAAGTGGGAGATCATGAATTCTAGCCCCCCTACATAGGCATGAAAGCTGGCTGGGAGACTTTGGGCCGGTGAGAAAATAAAGAAAAAGAATAAAGAAAGAAAAGATTATAAGGTGGCTTCTAATTATCTTCATGCATTTATGTTTTATCTGCTCCCTTTAAAACGATACCGTAGTTTCCTTCTTCCTGTCATCCCCACTTTCTAGTCACCAAATCCATAAACCGCAAGTTCATTTTATTATTATTTTTCTGCAGAAAGCCCATTATGGGTTTCCAGGCATTAATAAATGCAGTCACCACAATCTTTCTCTTAAGCAAACACATTCCTTTTGCCATCTCTCCCGTCATCTTCACCAACCATACTTCCACAGCAAGATCTTTTGTTTTGATTCCTGTGCAAGGCTGCTGACCTTATTATCTTAGCAATTCTAGTTTATTGATATTTTTAATCTCTCCTAAATGAAGTTATATTTGAAATGACTGTAATTCTTCCTGATAGTATCTTAGGCTGGTTTATGATCAAAATAAAGATTAGACTTGACTAGCAGGTCTGTTTAGTTTGCGTGCTCGTAAAATCCTTGGTACCGTGAAGATAGTCTACTCCAACACTGCAAGAAGTTGCAAGAAGCCACAACTATAATGTCTCCGATAGATAACACCCCCCTCTATTTAAGCCCCTTCAGTGAAGGAGAGTCCATGAACTCCCAAAGCAGATTATTCTATTGTCGAGCAGGTCTTACCATTAGGACACTTTTCCTGAAGTTCAGCCAAGATAATATTTCTTTGTAATTTAAATCCTGTTTCTTGTCCTGTCTTCTGGAACAACTCTGAACTATTTCTACCCTATCTTTATGTGGAATAAAAGTTCATGCAACATGTTGAACTTGGAAGTGGAATTAATTCCTTCTCTGAATTTGCACAATAGAGCCACACTATAATATCTCAGGAAGGCAGAAATGTAGGAAAGTTGACTTAGTTTGTTTTGTTACTCATTCCCAAGGGTGGTAGTTGTCAAATGTGAAATTTGGGTTGGGATGGGTTGGGTTGGGCACCTATATTTGTCCAGATTATTGACTTCTTCGTCAAAAATTACCCACTTAAGGAAATGTGTATGATCAGCCTTGATGAACTCAACAGTGTTCATACCTCAATTGTGTAGATGGTTTCCCCCAAAGTCTTAACCACATTTAGCCTGATAACAAAATTAGCCCATTTTTTTTCTAGGATGCACTATGGATTGAATTGTAAGCCACCCAAACAGAGTCACAGAAACGCACTGCCAACCCACAAAAAATACTAACCAGGCTTAGTGTAAAATGAAACCTTGCACATTTGCAGCTAGGTTTGCTAACCAATCCCGAGAAATTTTTTTAAAAAAAATCCTGTTATCAAATCCACCATGTTTTCATGGTGGCAAACGGACTCCAGCTTCTTGGGAAAAGAGTGGTCCTTCCACAGACGTAATTTTGAGAATTTCACTCTAGTTGGTTTGCTATGTTGGACGCCCATCAGTCAACATCTTAATATGGAAATTGGAAAAACACCCAACATGGCGCATTCAGCAGGGAGTGAACCTCTGAGCTCGATCCTTTTTTTTTGTGGCAATTGTCATGGCCAGGATCATAATCTATAGCAGTGGTGGGATTCAATTTTTTTTACTACCGGTTCTGTGGGCATGGCTTGGTGGGTATGGCATCACTTGGTGGGCGTGGCTTTGTGGGCGTGGCAGGGGAAGGATACTGCAAAATCCCCATTCCCTCCCCACCCCACTAACCTGCTTTCCAGCTCCGTTCTCCTGTGCAGGGCAACAAAAGGAGACCCAGCCAATCAGCTGGGATTCAATGGGAGGCAGAGAATAGATGGAGGCAGGGCCAGTCAGAGGTGGGATTCGCCGGTTCTCCAAACTACTCAAAATTTCTGCTACTGGTTCTCCAGAACTGATCAGAACCTGCTAAATACCACCTCTGGTCTGTGGATCAGTGGTGAAGAACCCCTGTGAGACGAGTGGGCAGTTTATGGCCTTTGGCTTCACTTCAGAAGTTATTTTGAACTTCTGCAACCTTAAACACTCAAAGAGCCATTTGGACCCGTTTCCCACAGAAAACACAGGGAGCCAATAATTTAACAATCGGTGTGACTGGGTGGGCGTGGCCAACTCGATGTCACTCACTTCCACCCAGTCCCCTCCTGCTCTGGAATGTGGAGCGGGTCTGCATCCCCTGCCATCCCCCTTACCACCTTCTCAGGCCAGGCGAGGAGTGACAGGAAGGGGAGGGGCCAGCCAGTGGTGGGATCAGCCGACAGGGAGCCGCATGAGAGGGCAGAAAGAGCCACATGTGGCTCCAGAGACACAGGTTGCCAACCTCTGCCCTAGAACAATCAGCTGTGAGTCTAGAAATCACAGGGAGGGGAGGAAGACGCTGGCGAAGACAGATGTGACTATAAGGAGGAGGGAAAAAAAGAAGTATCCCCTCTCTTCACTTCCCACCATTGGATGTGCTGCCTGGCAGACTTCCCTTGGGGAACTATAGCTTTTAACAGTAAAAGGATCGTCTACCCTTGCTCCACAATAAATAACATTGGTTTTCCTGGGCACCCTGCCTTGTTGCGCAGGGTTCAAACATACGTGCAAATCGTGATAGATTGTGCCTCCCCCCTCCCCAATCTTCTGTGGCTTCCTCTTGGCATTGCAGTGCTCCGATCAGCGCATCGAAGGCTGATTTGTTTTGTCACTTTCTTTACTAAAGGTTGCAATTATTAAGCCACATTCTCCCACACCCTGGAAAAAAAAGGGATTTTAAAAAAAAGGAAGCAGCATTGCCAAATTCTCTACTCAGTTTTAGGGAGGGTTAGTAGCACGATTGGTACCAGGCTAATCCCTGCTATATATATATATAGCTGATTAAAAAATACAGTCATTTCTCCCGGACATAAATCAGAAGAGATGGGGGATCACTTTGAGGGAGGGAGGCAGTGGTCTGTGAACAACCACATACACTGACTCTTCTTTTGCATTTCTTTTGCAAGCATTGGTAGCTTCATCAGAGACATGGTTTTACCATGAAGTTGTGATGAGTTTCATGCCATTATCCATCTAGTGACTTCTTCTTAGTGATAGCAATAGCACTTAGACTTATACCAGGGTTGTTGTTGTTGTTTAGTACTTTACAGTACGTGTGTGTGTGTGTGTGTGTGTGTGTGTGTACCACGGTGCCACCAGGGTTGGGCTTCTTCTCCTTCTTCTTCTCTTTCTCCTCCTCTTCTCTTCCTCCTCCTCTCCTTCCTTCCTCTTTCTCCTTCCTTCTTCATCCTCCTCCTCCTCCTCCCCCATTAAGCCACAAACAGCTGCTGTTTCCAAAGGGTGTGAGGCAGACGCAAGCCGTCTATGGCATTTGGGATGTCCAGCTCTAACTCCCAGCGTCTTTTTGTCATTGATTGTCCTAGTTGGGAATGTTGAGAATCAGACTCCAGCAACATCTGGAGGGCCACGGATCACCAACCCTTTCTTGTCCGTATTAGCTAACTTACCCTACTGCAGTATAGTACGCTACAGTGCAGCTTATTTATTTATTTTTTTTAAGCAAACTTAAGTTAACTCAAGCGGCAGGTTAGGGTGAGAAACAGCGATTGAGTTGTCTTGAAGATCATCTCTTCTTGACCAAATTTGCATGTGCCTCCAGATGAAATGCTCAGCTGCCAACGTCCTACAAGAAGCCTGGTTATTGCACAAGCACACCAAGAGGAAGGATGGGCAAAGAACACGCAAACACCACCGGCGGCTGCTGGCAGCCATTCACATGTAAGTTCTTACCCTGGGGGGCTGTAGAAGAGGGGTGTCCAATCTTGGCAACTTTTAAGACTTGTGGACTTCCAACTCCCAGAATTCCCCAGCCAGCCATGTTCGGACTTTAGGTACTTTGGAGAATAGGTTGACCCCAGGAGTGGGATTCGAATTTTTTTAACAATCAGTTCTGTGGGCGTGGCTATGTGGGCGTGGCCATGTGGACTGGGTGGGTGTGACTTCTCTTTTTTTGCAGCAATTCCCCCTGGTTTTGGGGACCTTCTGGGCCTCAGGAAAGCCTCTTGGTGGGGCATTTTTGCTCCCAGGAAGTTTCCCTGGGGCCCAAGAAGGCAAAAAATGGAGCTTGGGTAGGGGGAGGATACTGTGCCCCTCTCCCCTTTTTTGTCTTCCTGGGCCTCAGGGAAGCCTACTGGGCGAAGCAGTAAGACAGCGAGGGGAATCCCGGCACAGCTGATCGTAGGAACAGCTGATCATCAGGAGAGAGAAAAAAAAAATACCTCAAGGAGTGACCGAGGAGGGAAGAATGACGTCGGGCATGCGTGATAAGGACAGACTGGGCAGGGCGGGGAGGGGCGGGGCCAGCCAGGGACACGATTTGCCGGTTCTCTGAACTGCGCAGAATCGTAACAACCGGTCCTATAGAACTGGTCCGAACTGGTAGAATCCCACCCCTGGGATTGATCCTCTCTTCCTTATTGGAACACTGCAACCATGTCACCCTACAGTCCTTCTAGCCGTTAAACTAGACGTACCCAATTTCCTGCCACCTTTCCTCATTGGCTTTAACCTCCATCCTCCTAATCATCATTGTTGCAGGTTTCGCCATGTGAGGACAAAACACCGCAAGATCCGGGATCAAGTCAATACCATGGTGGATATTTCTAAGGTGGGTTTTCTAGCCAGGCCAAGAGAGGAAGCCCTTGCCCTGGTTTAAAAGAAGTCCCATTCTCCGACACATGGGGCACCCGAACTACAATTTCCAGCAACCCAGCCAGGGCAATCCAGGTTGCAGGGTCCTGGGAATCACAACCACTATCACTTCTCCATGACTGTCTTCAGCTGAGACGGAATAGTTTCTTCTGCCGTAGGTTGTATTTGCTGGCTGACCTTGTTTGGGGTCAGACGTTAGGCAGGATGGGTGACTCCCACCCTCTAGGTAAACATGGGAAGCTAAGGGACCCTCCCCCAAAAGAGAGCTGGACGGATGTTGTCCGTGAAGTCACCAGGAGTTGAATTCAGCTTAAAGGAGAATTGTAGTTCTGTCTTCAAGGAGCCAGGAGATCTCCAGAAACACGCCACGGACAGGCCGACCAGCATGACTTCTGTCTTCTCCTTCCAGATGCAAATGATCATGTGTGACCTCAAATCCAGCCTCGAAATCTCTCATCAGGATCTGGAAAAAAAGATCGTGTCCCTGGACAGGAAACTGGACGAGTTGACCAGATTGCTTTCTGTCCTGGTGCAGTCCAAGCAACAGGAGGAACAGCAGGTGCATTGATGTTCAAGGACTGCCAGGTAAGGCTGGCCTTCTGCGGACCAGAGCCGGTGGTTCTTTTGGGGGGGGGGGCCCTTTCTGCTTGCAAAAAAAATAAAAACCAGAATGCAGGGAATGGCAGGGCTACAAGCAGGGAAGGTTACGGAACATGGGTTCAAGGAAAGGCCAAAGTAAATGAAATCTTTCACCGAATGCAATGTGGGAATCACCCTGAGAAACAGGAAGGGGAGGGAAAAGAGGCTGCCTAGGGAACGATCAGATAAGAGGAGTCTTGGCCCACAAGTTACATAACAGGCAGAGAAAGTGAATTAAAAATAATCAGGCAGTAAAAGAGATTGTGGGATATTTGACCTTGCAAGATTCTATTAATGCAGCCTTTACAATAAGAACGGGATTAGCTCATCTGGCCAGTTTCCTCGCTGGATCATTTGAGAAGTCCGACACTTTGCTGCATTTTAGAAGGGGCTGCAGTTCTAATGTATTTAGAACGGCCTTCTCTTGGATCGGGTAATTTACTTCGAATGGCAAATCTGTGCATCTACAATGTAGAATTTTTAAAAATAATATCTGCTGTATCCCACTCTCCCAATGCCGATCAGTTTGGTGTAGTAGTGGTTAAAGTACCAGGCTAGAAACCAGGAGGTTGTGAGTTCTAGTCCCACCTTAAGGCATGAAAGCTGGCTGGGTGACTTTGGGCCAGTCACTTTCTCCCACCTCACAAGATTGCTGTAGTGGGGAAATAGGAAGTTTAAACAGTTGGAAGGTCATCTAGTCCAACCCCCCACCCAAGCAGGAGACCCTACACCATCTCTGATAGATGGCAGTCCAGTCTCTTCTTAAAAGCCTCCAGGGATGAAGCTCCCACAGCCTGACACAGCTCTGTGTCAGAAAATTTCTCCTTATTTCCAGGTTGAATCTCTCCTTGACCAGTTTCCATCCATTATTCCTTGTCTGGCCTTCAGGTGCTTTGGAAAACAGCTTGACCCCCTTCCTGCTCTCTGTGGCAGCCCCTCAGATATTGGAACACTGCTATCCTGTCCGTCCGTCCCGGGTCCTTCTCGCCACTGGGATGGATTACTAGTAGGATTGTTCACCAACTTGAGTTACTGATAAAAATGATAAACGCGGGATATAAACGAATAAAAAATAAAGGATTTGATTTAAAAACAAACAAACTCCAATACCCGGGTTCAGCCTGGTAGGATTGGTGCAGGTAGATAAAAATGAGCATATAGTTTGACATTGATTGGAGCTGTCTAAATACAGAATTAACGTGTCATCTCTCTTTCGACTTTTTTTCCCCCCTCCCAGGTGGCCGTTGAGAGGATTTTGATCTCTCCTTTCATATCTGGCTCAAGATATGGACTTTTAGTACACCTGACTGCCGTTTTTATGGATTCCATAGGCCAAAGCAGTACATAGGGAAGAAAATTAACTGTCACTACAGTGCCACCTTGTGGTACCTTCAAGACACAACGAGCCTTATAACTTTCTTTTAGCATCTCGGAGGTGGGGCCAGAAGGCTGTTAAAAAACCTGGCTGGCAGTGGAGAAAACGATTAGGTTGGTGTGAATGTATCTGCAAAGACGCATGCCTTGGCAGTGTAGGGAGGAGGTCTTCTGGATGGAAACCACGTCCTGGTATCCTCTCTTTCCTGAAGGACAAAAACAACAACACTGAACTGTGGGAGGAATGGAAACGTACTTGAAACGGAAGAAAAATCTCACCGCTGCGGAATGCGAAGGTTCCGCCTTTGGACTTGGGCAGAAACCTCTCCAGACGGGGCAGGAATCAGATCTGCAGGAAGCAGTTGGTTAACCTACTGCTCAGAAATTTCTCAAGGATGGAAGACGCCGTTCGTTTTTAATTTTGACAGCTTTGTCAGCCGAGTTTGGTGACTTGAGCTTGAGCGACAAAGCCTCCCGACAGGCTGGGACGCTTGCCCTGTCACAGGGAGTGGGTTTCGTTTGCGTTTGTTTTGTTTTTTTGGGGTGGGGTGGGGGGAAGGGTATATCTGGGTGAAATTCTCGACGCTACTTAAGAATCATACGACTTGATCGGAGGGATTTGGGAGTTCCAATCATGCATTTGGGTGCAAGAATCTAAATTAAAGCATCTCCAAACTGGAAGACGGGATTCGGCTTTCGTTTGAACGGCAAAACTTGGGTCAGGGGTTTCCATGGTCAGACGTTCAATTATTAACACAATCACAGGCCAGCTGCCCTGGAAGAAGCTTGTTCTTGATGGTGGGTGTTTGGGTTGGTTTAGAAATAGTTCTCAATTTATGACCGTTAATGCAGCCTGGGATTTCTGTCATTTAAGTCACGATAATCTTAAATCGAGACACCCACATGACCAATCCAATTTTGTGACTTTTTTTTTTTTTTTGCGGTAGTTGTTCAGCAAATGTCATTGTCATTAAGTCAGTCAACGCATTCCTATGGGCATTGTTTGCTGGAAAACTGCTTGAAGACCTGTCATAAGTCAGTTCACCCTCACGACCAACCCAATTTTAACACCTTTTTTTTTTGGTGGTATTTGTGGAGCAAACCCCTAGTCATTAGACAAGTCAATGCATTCTTATGTGCGTTGTTTGCTGGAAACTGCCGAAGGCTGGATTCCAGAAAAAAAATGATGTAAAGAGCCAGGGTGACACAGTAGCTAGAATGCAGTATTGCAGGCTAATTCTTCTGAGTTCACTTCACAGCTTGTCATGGGAGCTGTGACACACCCGTGTCACATTTGACACAACGGCCATGGAAGGATTGACAGAGGCCATTTTGTAAACTGTCATCTTTTAATTAGCGTGAGTGACCTGTGGCCCTTGGCCTAATTTCATCTAGGGAGGGGCAGAAGTCCAGAGGAAAGAGATAGAAGAGAAACATTAAAAAGAGGGACTGTGGAAGAGATTAGCTTAGCTGTTGGGGGAAAGGAAGCGGGGAAGACGGGAAGGTTGCAAGCTATGCAGATCAGACTTTCCGGCTTCTCTCCCATCTACGACCTGCTGAATGAAGAATTGTCGGGGATCGGGCGGCTATTGAAGGCTGTCAAAAAAAGGAAGCCAAGAGTTCCTATTCTCTTATCGCAAGAAAGTGTCTTCCCCAAAGAATTTGTAATTGTCTGATTTTATAAACACTTGCCTAAAAAAAACAGCACACAGGCAGACCTCCCTTAACGACTGCCCTGCTTAGCAACCAAAATGAAAAACCGTTATGACCGGTCCTCATGCTTACGACCGCTGCAGTGCCCTGCGGTCACATGATCACCAAGCCTCCCAGCCAACTTCCAAGAGAGCCCAGGCAGATGACTGCAGTAACGTCGCAGGCTGTGGTCAGGGGACGGCTTGCTGATTGACTGCAGGTGGGGGTTCGCTTAATGACCGTGACGGGACTGAGATCATAAAAGGTCACGTGAGGTCAAAGTTAACAGCCGAGTTGCTGGTGACAATTGTGGACTATGAGCGAGAAGTCCCTGTCTAGGACTATTGTCAACCGGTCTGGTATAAATATTGTACCCACTGGGGAAGAATGCCATCAGCTCCAACCAACGCAATTTATTTCCTGATAAATGGTCGGAAGGTCCCTCCCTCTCTATACCTCCCCCTGCCCACTCCCCACAGGTAAGCAACACATGAGGGGCTCAGGATTTTAGCTCTTTAATCTTTATATTAATTACATTGGGGGAAATTAAAACGAACATCAGACAGTAACCATCAGCGAATGGGCCCCGACTGATCACCAACACCACCTTCAAACGCTCCCCGACCCCCCACCTCCTGCCCTTCAGCTGGTCTCAACTGCCCACCCAGCTCAGGTGGATGAGAGGAAACCCGCGAGGGTGTACACTCGCAAGCCGGGCCGCTGGCTCCTGACGTGATGCCAGAGGTAACGGGACAAACGCCGGAAGTGGACGCCACAAGGGCAGCTGAAACGAGCCAGGCTGGGGTGGCAGGAGTTGTGCCTTTGCAAACCAGCGTGTCCTCGGAGTGACTTCCCGCAGGTCGAGCAAATGAAGAGGGCTTCCTCCAGGTGCCGGAGCTGGTGGCGCAGCAGGTGGAGCAGGCCCCGGAAGGGAGACCCGCATTCGCACAGGAAGCTCCTTCCCCGGCGTTTCCGCCCCTTCTGGTGCGAGCGCAGCTGGGAGTGCTGGCTGTAGCAGACCCCGCAGTCGGGGCACTTAAAGCGCCAGATGCTGCCCTGGCGCGGGGGCGGCTTTCTGGCTCGCTGGAAGGTCCGTTGCTGGGGGCGGTCATGGTGCTCGCCTACCACCAAGCCTTGCTGGCCCAACTCGCTCTCCATCTCCACCACAATGAAGCCGTCTTCTGCCGCCAGACTGGGGCTGGGGGTCTCTTGCCCGGCGTGCAAATTGACGTCCCACGGCTCCGAGGCCACTGGAATGCCGCCCCCGGTGTCGTACTCCAGGTCCAAGACCTCGGGATGGTCCCCTGTAGGGCAAGGCAGCAGCCGCATCACCACTGGACTTCGGGGGCTGGTGGTCGCAACGGAAGGGGGCTGCTGCTGCTTGCTTGCCTGGTACAAACTGGGCAGGCAGAAGTTGGCCTCCTGCGACTCCCAGGCCTCTTCTCCTTCAACGGTGGCCTCGCTGTGGTCCAGAGGCAGGGAATTCCCGTAAGGGAAGGTGACGTATTGAGGCTCAGGGACCAAATGGAAGGCGGCAGGGCCCAGCGAGGACATCTGAGGATCCAGGTAGAGTGTGGGAGAGACCTCGGAGGTCTTAATGATCACTTGCTGGAAAGGACCGGGCTCCGTTTGGCCGTCCACGACAGCCGCCTGATCGTCTGCTTGCAGAAGCACCGTCCGGTAAACAGTGCAAGGGTTCTGGTCGACCCACTCAGGGCCGGCGGCCTCCTGGTCCTTGACTCCGCCAGCCTGCAGGGGATTGGTGCTAACCGGAGCTTCCAGGATGGCTGCCTGCTCCTCGGTTCTTAGGAACACCGGCTGCACGGCATTGGTGGCCGCTTGGCCGTCGAACACGCTGGTCTGCAGCTCAGCGTAATGCCGCTCGGCGTCAACAGGCACAGCCTCTGCCTCATCGCCGTCCAGGATGATAATCTGGTTTTCGGCACTCATGACCGCCGGTTGGAAGAGACCGCCGGCCACCTGGCCTTCCAGGACACCTTCCTGCTTCTGCCAAGGCTGCAGGAGGTTGATCCCGGTGGCCCCATCCAGGACGGCCATGGAGTTCCCGGCTTGGGTGGAGCTGAGCAGCTCCTGAGGCTGCCAGGTCTCAGCGCTCTTCCTCTTCGGGTGCTTGGAGGCTTTCCGCTTGCCTGTCCTTTGAGGCCTGGAGAACGGCAGGCCGGCCGGCTGGCTGAGAGCCTCCTGCATGACCGGGAGGTCCAAAACATCTTTTCCTTCCGGGGGGTTCCTGGTGCCACCAAGAGGCTTGTAAACATACGAAACTTGGGAGGAGCGCTGACTTACCTTTCTGTGATGGACTTTGATGCCCAGGCGCACCAGCTTCAGGTGCCACTTGGTGTGCCGTGCAAATTGCTCCGGGCGCAGGAATCGCTTGCCACACTCCAAGCAGCGGAGCTTGCGGGGTGGGGACGGGACACGGGTGGGGATCTGGGCTGCGTGCAGCTGGGCCGTCTGCTCCTCCTCCTGAGCGTGGTCCTGGAGGTGCTGGGTGTAGTGCCATTCCTCCATGAAGACCTGCAGGCACTTCTGGCACTGGTAGGCACCGAAGGCTGGTATTCCGGGAGGGGGAGGACCTCCGGGCCGCAAAGGGCAGGAGAACAAGGGAGGGACCCATTTCTCGGAAGCGGAGAGCTTCGCTGGGGCGGTGGGGCGGTGGATCGAACGGCGCTGGTACGGGCGCGGCGGCCGTCTGACGGGCAAGAAGAAGGTCAGATGGGATTCCCCATCGTCATCGCTGCTGGAGACATCAACGGATTCCAGGCAGAGGCAATTCTGGATGTTTTCCTGGGGGTGGAAAGAATCACAGGACGTATAAGCTAAAAGGGACCTGACAGCTCATCTAGTTCAGCCTCCTATATCAGTCTAGCTGGGGTTTAAGAAGTCATTTTTAAAACGTTGATTTTAGGACTTTTAGTATAGCTTTTCTTTTTTTCCCCTCTTCTGCATCTCTAGAGGGCAGAAAATGACACCTCCAGTTTTCAACCACTGCGGTAGTTACTGAAGGCTCCAAAGGCGGCAAAAATTAGAGGCCGCAGATTATCCACTCAGCCCAACACAGGCAGAGCACATCGCATCTGTATCCAAGATAATTACCTTCTCTAATCCAGATGCATGTATTAAAACCCTCTTCAGAAGTTTGGATTATATTACTATTCCTGACCACAAAACCTTGCCGATGGGGGCCTTCCGTGATCTTTGGCACCAAGCAATGGCATCTGGACCCCAGCCTTCGGGTTCCTGGCCAAATTCACCCCTAAATTGAAATCTGAACAATCGCTCTCCCAGATTTAATTGTTTTTCTGGGACTACGCTCCACAATAAAGAGAGCTGGGGCCTGTTCTGTGTGAGGGTTCAGGAGTTTTTTAAGAGGTAAAATTGGTACCTTAAGAATTTAGCAAGACTTAAGGCACCCTTTTGGGGTTTTTTTTGGTACCATCATCTCCAACAACCCACAAACTAGGAAACAGAAAAAAGGTCCCCAAACGAGGAAAAGTTTTCCGGAAACTTCAAAAGGGATACTAGGTCAGAGGTATCCAACCTTGGCAACTTTAAGACTTGTGGACTTCAACTTCCAGAATTCCTCAGCCAGTTTTGCTCCTCCTCAGGAGGAGCAAAGCTCTTGAGGAATTCTGGGAGTTGAAGTCCACAAGTCTTAAAGTCACCAAGGTTGGAGACCCCTGTACTAGGTTTAGTTTAGTTTAGTTTATTGTCATTGCACCTCGTACAACGAAATCAAACACCATCTTCAGTGCACATCATGACCATGAAAATAAACCCAAACACACATCCTTCACACTCCACACATTGAATTGAAAACCCCGACACCACACCAACACTGCACTATACAGTAGAATTCAACAGAGCTACTGCCCTGGGACAGAAGCTGTTTTTCAGCCTGTTTGTCCTTGTTTTTATTATCCTGTACCGTCTGCCAGATGGTAATAGTTCAAAAAAAGGGTTCCCAGGATGAGATGGATCTTTGAGAATGTTTTGAACTTTCTTAAGGCAGCGGGAACTATAAAGCTCTTCCAAAGAGGGGAGAGGGCAACCAATGATCCTCTCAGCAATGACGTTCACCCTCTGGAGTGCTGGTCTATCTGCTACTGTGCAATTGGCAAACCAACACAGGTGCAATAAATTAAGGTACTCTTCTTTGGTCCAGCAGTAGAAGGTCACCAGCAGTTTTTCATTCAGTTGTTGTTTCCTAAGAAGTCTCAGGTAGCATAATCTCTGCTGGGTCCTTCTGACCAGGGTTGCAATGTGGGCACCCCAAGTCAGGTCCTCTTTTATGGTAACACCCAGAAACTTAAAACTGGCCACTTGCTCCACTCGGTCTCCATTGATAAGCAAGGGCTGGATATCTGATTTGTGACCGCATTTCCGCCTTCCCACAAATTCTGATGTCAGAGTAATTGCCTGCATGGCACTCCATAAACCATCTGGTCAGAGAGCTTCTAGAAACCACCTTTCAGGTATCCCCAGATTCCATATTGAAAAGTGGACGATAGTGCCTGCTCCCTACCAAACGCAGAGGCAATTCATCCAGGTCTCCATATTCGTTCACTTCGATTTCGGCGCCAACATCCATCCCTGTCACCAAATCCATCGTGTCCTGAAAAAGAGAAGGAGAAACCCTCTGGTGCGATCTTTTTCCTTGGCAGTTGAGACTCCAGGAGTCCAGGTAGTCCTTGCTTAATGTCTGCTCGCTTAAGGGACAATTCAAAGTTATGATGGATTGCCCCCCTCCTCCCCCAAGTTACTTAGGAGAGCCAAGGTGGTACAATGGTTAGAATGCAGTACTGCCGGCTGCCTATAATTTGGCAGTTTGAATCTCACCAGGCTCCAGGTTGATTTAGCCTTCCATCCTTCCGAGGTGGGTAAAATGAGGATCCAGACTGTTGGGGGCAATAGGCTGACTCTGCAACCTGCTTAGAGAGGGCTGTAAAGAATTATAAAGCGGTATATAAATATAAATGCTATTGCTATTCCTTCCTACCTGCCTCTTTCTTTCTTTTCTTTCTTTCTCTCTCTCTTTCTCCTTCCTTCCTTTTCTTTCTTTCCTTTCCTCCCTCCTTCCCTTCCTAGCACTGCAGTGGTTATAAAGCAAAACTGCAGGCTAATTCTGCTGACTGCCAGCAGTTCGATCCTGATCGGCTCAAGGTTGACTCGGCCTTCCATACTTCCGAGGTGGGTAAAATGAGGACCCAGATTGTTGGGGGCAAGAGGCTGACTCTGTAAACCGTTTAGAGAGGGCTGTAAAAGCAGTATAAAGCAGCATAATAAGTCTAAGTGCTATTGCCATTTGGATGCTGTTCTGGAGGTGCTTTCTTAAGAGGCAGCTTGGGACTTTCTTCGACTCTGCAGCCCGCTCCCGGTGTGTGCCCATAGTGTGTGTGTGTGTGTAGGGGGAAAATCACACCTATAAAAAGGGACCTGCTTGCAAACCGTGGGTTGGACACCCCACCTCCCTTTCATTCGTGAAATGCTTATTTTTTTTAGCCACAACAACGGGCCTGACAAACAACCGGAGCCACCTCCTGACCCGCTAACCCATATATAATCCCACCTTTCCCATTTTCCTTCCCCCAACCGGGTACACAACTCCCAGGCTTCCCTCGATTGCAATCCTGAAAGTCCCCAGGGAGTGGGGGGGAGGGGGGGCGAGGGCAGAGGTGGGATGCTTCAGAGCCGCCCCCCCAACTCCACCCCCTATTCCCTTTGCAGAATGAGGCCTCCTCCTTCTCTTCTCCCTCCCAGCCCTGCCTGGCCCCATCCCGGGGGCTCCTCCCTCCCTCTGCAAAGGCGAAACCCGCACGCGGCTGGCTGCGAACTTGCCTCCTACTTCGATCCGGCAGGCCGAACAGCAGCAGCAGCAGCTCCCGGCCAGCCCCGCATGATGCTCGGCGGGGGGGCCCGGCCAGAGGACCCCTCCCCCCAACCTCCAACGGAGACCCTGCGCCGGCCTGCCCCCCCCACCCCCCCGGCGCACGCGCGCCCCGCGACCACCTCCGCTTCCCGAAACGCAGTGGCGGTGGCGCTTCCAAGCCCGGGAGCGGAACGGACCGCGCATGCGGAGAGGAGCAAAGGTTGCCGGAAGTTGTAGTCCAGCCTTCCAGATTCCTTCCTTCCTTCCTTCCTTGGCTGCTGTTTGCAAGTTAGGGATTCGGGCGTTCCGCTGCAGTTTTACAGAATAAGCCGAGCTCGGATGGAAGGATGGATCACAAGTCCGTGCAGTTGCTTTTTTTTTTTTTTTTGGCAAGATTTTGGGTGTGGTTTTTGTTATTGCTTTTGCTTCCTAAGAGTGGAGAAAAATGAGGCTGGCCCCAAGGTCACCCAGCTGGTTTTTGTGCCTGGAACTGGTCGCTGCCATTTCCAAACAGGCAGAGGTCCTTGGCTAAAGGGCGTTCGGGGCATTGTTCTCGGAGGTGGCTCAGAGCTGAAGCATGCGGTTTTTCTACCCCCTCTTCCTAATAACCCTGTAAGGTAGGCTAGGCTGTGGACCCCAAGGAGTTTCCCTGGCTGAGGGTGGCTTTGCTACCAAAGCAACAAGTCTGTTCCAGACACCGAATTCCTGCAGGATGTTCTTCATTTGCAAGGATTGGGAGTCCAGATTTGCTTCAGCAGTGGGTTGGACTAGAAGACCTCCAAGGTCTCTTCCAGCTCTATTCTATTCGATCTTATCTTTACACAACGATCTGCAATTATCCGCCATCAAGTCTTGCCGACTTTTAAAGAGGGGCGGGCGCTTCAACTCTCCAAATTCCCGATCTAGAAAATCTGGGAATTGTAATCCATCCAACTTTTTAAAAAGGGCCAAGGTTGAAAAAAACAGGATCTCCACAGTATTAGAATACACTGGATTTTGCAATCGCAAGAGACCGCTCGCCTCCCCTTTCCACCGCATGGTACTGGTCAAGGCGTTTCACTTTGGAAGCAGCACGCATGCTTTGGAACAGAAGACGGTTAACGGATCACAGTCGCAAAAATCCGGCTGGGATTTTTAAGGTGCAAAAGTTATGTTTGTCATTTTGCTGCCATGTCTGGATTTGTGCAGCCCAGATTTGAGAGCCTGGACTACGTTTTATATTATTTAACTATATAAAACTTAAGCTTCTCTTCATGGTCTTTAGTTACTCATAACCATGAACTCCTCCTTGAGGAGGCAGAAAAACTGAAACGTCCTTTGCTGCACAACAAATACCATCGTCCTCAGCCCCAAACCAATGGCGATGGTAGTCAAGGGCTATCGTTAATTTCCCATCTCCACCACTATGTGGCGCTATATAACACTAAGGCTGTCTCAAATCCACCCAATAGATTCCGGTTTCAAGACACGCCCCTCCCGCTCTAAGCCTCTCTAGGCTCATACTTTGTAGGCTTTTGGCGCATGCGTACGTGCACGAAACTGCCGCGACGACTAACCGCTTACGACCACCCAACCAACATACAGAGGTTTGACGTGGAGAGGGAGCATGCGCAAAGTCAAAGCAAACGGTGCTCCAGCTCGGGACGAATGATGACTTTCTGCGCCTGCGCGCTACCTCGAACAACGGTGGCCGACGAGGTTCTTTCCCGGCTTCTTCCGTGACCGCACATCACTAATCCCAACTGCCTCGCAACGAGCTTTTTCCCCATTGACGCTACCTTCTGCTTTATGTGACGCTGGGCCGGAGTGCTTCTTCCATAAGCGAGGTTCTTATCGGCTTTCGAGACTCCGCTGATCAGGTATTGCTTTGAGGGACTGAGAATAGGTAGTTCCTGTTTCAGTGCGCCAATATTCTTCCGCGAACGTTGAAAAAAAATCGAGCATTATCCTTCCGCGAGAAATACATAGTTCCGGCGGCTGTCTTCTTTCTCTCGTATCCGTCCACGGACGGTTGCTTAGCAACCACATCTGACTTCGCAGGGAGTGTATCTCTCCGCCAATTATTATAGGCCCATCTCTCCCTAGAAATTGTGCTTTTTTAATCCCAAACTTTGGATGCTCTGTGATGGTTCGTCAGAATTGCAGCACTTTGCACATGCTCAGTTGCTTGCATTTTGCTTCCCCAATATGTTATTTAGATCACTTATATTTGTTTACTTAGTTATTGAAATTATATAGCTGTCCACCCCATGCATGTAACATTGGGCAGCATAACGCAATTAAAACACAAAGCTAAACAACACAATCCAAGAACAACCAGCAAAAACAGTAAAAAAAAACCTGTAATAACAAAAATGTAGGGGTCATTGCATGTTCTCTCATTCTCTCTGCAGCATATTATTTCAGAATTATAAACTGCCTTAAAGATGGTATTTCTTCCTCCATCCCTTATGGGTCAAACACACAATAGAATAGGAAGAATAAGATATTAAAGTAAAAAAAAATCTAGAACTCACAGCTAAGCTCACTTAGTCTCCCCAGTCTGATTCACATTTTTGGAGTCTAGGGAAAAGTCTGACCTTCACATACAATGAATGCCATGTAAAAAGTAGTCCACATTTAGTGACATAACTGGGACTGGAAACTTGGTTATTAAGTGGTTACTGAGTGAAACCGTGACTGCTTCCGATCTGACTTGGTTTTCCTTTGCTTTCCCTCAAAGATCCTAAATATGAGCATTGGCCACAAAGTTGCTTTTCCATTTCAGTCATGACTGTGAATGGTTGCTAAACAAAGCAGTCGCTAAATAAGGACTACCTGTGTTGCTCTTTGAGGGCTCAGGCAATTCCACCCCTAATGAATAGCAGTAGAGGTGTGTATCTTCAGCCTGCACCCCCAATTCTATACACCCAGTGCTTCCAAGATTACACTTTGCCTTTGGTCCTCATATTCAAAGCATCCTGATACTTTCAGATGATATTTCTCCATTATTATTATTATTATTGTGTCACATCAGACATTGGCGATCATGTCAGTGATCCTATTCTTATCAGTTTAGCCACATGAAAAAGTGCTGCTGAATTTTGTCCAAAACCAGCCCCTTCGATTTTGAAGCCACAATATTCTTCTGCTGTCTGGACCTCATTTGCCTTCCATCTTTCCCTGGAGGATTAACTGAAGGATGCCGTATTTTTCCGGGTGTCGCATCCCATGTCCAAAATAGTCTAACTTCCACTTTTTTATGGTTTCAATGATTTTTCCTCCTTGAGGTCTTCTAAGGTCAGATCATATGTTTCTTCACTCATGTAATCGTTCAGAACTCAGATGGGACTTTCTTGTTCTCTTCCCAGATCCCATTGCCGGATGTCGGAGTCGGGGCACAGCCAACCTGGATTGTATGAACGACGCCGTCGCTGGAACCGGGAGAAGGAACTGGGTCACCAAAGCCTGTCTGGACCAGGGCGAGAGCGTGACTATGTCCCCTGGGACCGGGATCGAGATCGAGATCGAGACCGACGGGTGAAAGTCCACACTTCAGTTGGGATAGCCATGGGGGCAGGGATCCACCTTAAGTCTGACCCTGATTTCATTGTAGGAACCAATGGATGAACCAGTGGGGACAGTGATGCAGAAGACACCCATCATTCTGGCCAAACCTCCGGCAGAGAGGGTAGGTAGGAGAACATGACCCACCCCTTGTCAACCCATAAAATATTTCTAGGGTCTTTTTAGAGTTGCCAACAGAAAGGGAGGGGGGAAAGGGGTTTGAAAGAGCAATGCGGCAGCTTGGTAAGCAAACGTGCATTCCATAAATAGCTTTTCAAATATAGTAACTAGGTGACTGAAGTTTCTGCCGTGCAAAATTCTAACTGGAGAACATGATCGATGGCTCTTGGCTATGGATGTGTCTTACTGGAGAATATGAATTATGATACACCCAGGCAAGGCCGGACATGTTAACTCCCAATAAATCTTTTTGAAGTTTTGGAAGATTGGCTCGAGACTCATGATTTAATTGGGGTAACTGCTGGAATCCTGACACCACTTTTAGGTTTTATAAGAATACCTGATAAATCATTTGGAGTCCAGAATACTCCAGTGGAGGTTTCTTCACTCAAGGATAACCATACAATCTTATTTAGCTGCTAATTTTTCTCTCAGGCATTGAGGCCAAGTAGATTTAACTTCTACGCTTGAATGAGTATATGGAAGTTTGGATTTGTGACCACCTATTGATTTTTCTTGTTTACCTGAATTGATTTTTTTTTAATCATAGACAGATAGTCCTCGACTGATAACTGTCCTTGAGCCCAAATTTCAGTTTTAAGTTGTGATGGTTCTTAAGTGGGTCACCTGATACTACCACCTTTTTTTGCCAGTCGTTAAATGAATGCTGTGGTTGTTAAATGAACCCATTCTTTGCTATAGGATGGGTTTTTTGCTGGAAACTTAAAGTAAACGCCTGTTTCTGGCAAAAATATTGTAAATTATGGTCATGTGACTGCTGGTCTTTGGAACTTCAAATCTGGGTTGTACATAGCTTTTTCGGGGTCTGTCATAACTTCAAATGTTTGCTAAGCAACTGGATGTAAGCTAAGGACTATCTGAAATTGCTAGATTGATTGATTTATATTGCCCAAAGTCACAATTGTTTAAATTGGGTGACTATATTAATTTATTAAATACATTTTCTTGCCACTTTAATGTTTGAAAGAGACCAATTGAGAAGGGTACTCTGTTTTCTTCCTACATATCCCCATCTTTCTTATTTCATATTCTTAATGGGATATTTTCCCTCCAGAGAGAATGAGGGAACACAGAACTGGAAACATGCCTACAGCAGGAATGCTCTCTTGCCTGATCCAATTTTTTAGGCATCCTATAGTGAAGAAGCCATTGAAAGTAGGAAAAAAGGTTATTTGAAAACTGTAAAAAAAACAGTTAAAAAAAGAAATTAAAAAAAAAATCCATCTGATAAACAGATGGCTTCCCTCCAGGGGAAGTCAGTGGGACATAGCTCTCAAGAAAGGGATCTCTCTACAGCCTGAGAGGGATTTTGGATCTTGGCTCGCTTGTCTTCACAGTCCAAGGTGACTCCAGCCACTACCCCTGTCCCAGCACCTGCTGCTGCTCCTGCCATGGAAAAGCCCATTGTGCTGATGAAGTCCCGAGAGGAAGGCAAAGGCCCTGCTGGAACCACAGAGGTGTCTGCTCAGCCCCCTGCAGCTGTGGCCAAGGTGGAGAAGGAAGGCCAGCGTCCCACCCAGCCGGTCTATCAGATCCAGAACCGGGGCATGGGCTCGACTGCCTCCAGCGGCATTATGGACCGTAAGTCTGGAGCAAAAGGCAACTTCTTTGGATGAAAGCATTGTATCCGTGGCAGCTGATAAGGAGCATCTCTCCCTGGCAGTGCAGGGGCAGGCATGGTATGTCTTCGCATGGTTTAGACCTGCCTCTTGATCTGGACTTAATTAAAGGCTGCTGCCTCTTGATCTGGACTTAATTAAAGGCTGCTGGCTCTTGATCTGGACTTAACGAACCAACAGGGGAGTGAATGGGTGGTATAATATTACAATACATTGCTGTGGATTAAAGTGTCGCCTGCTGATTTTTCTAGCTGTAGTTGGCCAGGCAAAGTTGTTAGCCCCGGAGAAGATGAAACATAGCATCAAGCTGGTGGATGATCAGATGAACTGGTGTGACAGCGCTATCGAGGTACCTGGATTATCTAGTACTAGTTTTTTGTATTCTCTGTCTCCCATTCTTGCGAGTTTCTTGGAAACCCTGCTTTGATTTGGCTTGTTGTCTTGAACAGGTTGCTTCCCAAATATGTCTTTTTCGTTTGCTTTTTTTTCTTTTAGTCGGTTTTTATAGCTTTCAAATAACCATTTCCCCCCGACTTCTACGCAGTGGGGTGTTTGCTTTTTAAACTTTCCATTCTGTCCCAAGCTATTTGTTATAAGTTGGTTGGAATCACAAGTGATTTTATTAAATATTTGCACATATCTTAACTTTTGGCTGGAATGCAACTTGGTATAAAATACTGAAGAACAAGATTAAAAAGGGTGTGAACAAACAAATAATAGATTGATAAGTTCCATCATTATTAGCCAATATAAGTGGGTTATATTTTGTTTTAATGTAAATAATACATATTAAACCGCCATCATAGCTTTATGAGGTATTATGTTTATAATTGTTCCCCATTTCATTTCTCTCTCTCTTATATTAGTACCTCCTGGACCAAACAGATCTGCTTGTAGTTGGGGTATTAGGACTGCAAGGTACTGGGAAGTCCATGGTGATGTCACTGCTATCAGCCAATCAACCTGAAGAAGATCAAAGGTAGGTGGGCATTAGGAAGAGGAACTGCCTTGCCATTGGATACCAGATTGATCAAAGAGCATTGACAATGAGCTTTGAAAATGAAGATTGTTATGGGGCTCTTAATTCATTAATGGGTGTTAAGTTTGGAAGTTTTTTCTTTAGTGTAGCATAACAGAAGAAAAGGAACCAGGAAAAACATAGAACGATAGTTACAGGAAACAATTCAGCTTAGTTTTTAAACACATTGTTAAAATTTGATCTCATGAAATAATATTGATTTGTCTTTCCATTGCATTGATCAGTTCATGAAGATTTGTAAATCCAGGGAACATACTGCCTTTTTTTTTCTGCCTTTGCTGTTACTTGATAAAGCTATAATTCTGTCTCTCTGATGTTCCAAATTGTTGGCAGATTCCTTAATTGTAATCATTTTTACCACACCATGTTGAGAATATATGGATATTAAACCAAAACAGGGCCAGTATCCATTACTAGTTCAGAAATTTCCACTCAGCTTCCTTGCTGTTTGAATATTCCTGTTTTAAATATGTAAGTTATTATTTTCAGCTGGCACAGCTGCTTTCCTCCTCTCCCAGAGACTCTGAACTCTAGACCCTGCCACTTTTCTCTTTAAATATTTGAACATGGTGTTGCACCAGACTGGCTCAGCAATTCAATGTTTATCCCAGAATAGATCGTCAGCCCTCCTTCGTTTTTCCATGAATGTTTTTTCCCCCTTTTGTAGGACATATGTGTTTCGCACTCAGAGCCAAGAAATCAAAGAACGTGGGGGCAACCAGACTAGTGGAATCGATTTCTTTATTACCCAGGAGCGAATCATCTTCCTTGATACTCAGGTCGGTGATGTTGTGATATTTCCGTGATCTGTTTTAGCTCCCAATCCTAATCTCCCGGTTTCCAGTCTGGTGCCTTTACCACAAGACCAAACTGGTGCTCTTTTTATTTGTTCAATATAAATGCTGCTTCCAAGAGCTGGTTACACAAACAATATCAATTAGTTACACAAGTGTATTCAGGGCCCTCGTCCTCCATTCAGTTTTCTCCAGAGGGATGATTAGCTTTTGTTGAGAACCGAGGACAGGACGTGGGTTACTCTGGCTAAGGAATGATAGCTAAAAACTCCCAATTGTTTTCCTTCTCCTTTTTTTGTAGCCCATTCTCAGTCCCTCCATCCTAGATCACCTGATCAATAATGACCGCAAGCTGCCTCCAGAGTACAATCTACCCCATACTTATGTTGAGATGCAGGTAATGGTCCATTTTATCTTTTGTAGAGAACAGGACAGGTAGCTGTAGGAATGGGTGAATGGTGAGGGCCCTGGTCTGCATATGTTCGTTGCTGAAGGAATCTGAATGTTGGAAAAAACAGGGACAATAAATCCATCTTCTTCATTTCCTTTTTATTATTTATTTATGTTTCTTGGGGATTTTATATAAAGTGAAAAGCATTTCTTAAGAAAACAAAGGAGGGGGGAGAAAAGTGTGTAAGAAAAAAAAAGCAAAAGGATAAAACTAAAGTTTTGAAATGTAATTGTTTCCAACCATCTTTCCAACAGATGTTATTAAATCTATTGTTTCCCCTCCTTCTTAACTTCCAGAAATTCTTTAGCCCCTTATTTAATTCTCATCTGTTTCAGCAATTAAATCTATAAATCATTTCACTTTAAAAACAAAAATTCCCTAAAAGTCTTCCAATCTTTTAAACAAAGCACTTTGTTTACTTTATGTCCAAGCCGGTTAGTTTTGTAATTTCCACTAATTCTGACATTGTGAGAATTTCTACTCTTCCATCTTTGGCCATGTCATAATCCTGTGCTCCTTCCTTCCTTACATTAGTTATCTTAGTCTTCTTGCAGTTTTCCTTCATTGTAACTTATATCTCAATTGGACTGCACCTTCAGTCAATTCACCGTTCTTAAAAGTGATTATCATGATGTCATCAGTTCAGGAAACAGTTCTTTTGTGCTTGTGAACGCAGTTCCAGACCAAGAATTTGGCCATGATTTTTGGCATGTACCCAGAGGCCCTTTCCAGCCTTTCTGCTCATTTACTTGAAGCTTCTTTCTTTCTAGTCCCTTCAGATCGCTGCCTTCCTCTTCACCGTCTGCCATGTGGTGATTGTGGTGCAAGACTGGTTTACTGACTTGAGCCTATACAGGTGAGAGGTGTGTTGGAATGAACCCTATTGTGAACAAGGAACTATAGTCAACTGCTTAAGTCCAGAGTCTTCTAATAATCCATTTTCTGCTGCTTAAGGCAAGAAGTGGGTATACAACCTATTCTTTTAAACCAAAACTTGAATTCTCAAATCTTATCTGTAGATGTCACTAAATATTAATTCTCTGAATGTAGGTATTTGGGGATCTCTTGATAATGGCAAAGACTACTAAATTTTGAATAGCTTGATATATGTATAACTGTTTTAGTTTAATTCTATTTCTAGATCTCTGAGGAAACGTAACCAATCACTTTAATGCCAACTAGTAGACAGAAACCAAAGGGATATGCTTCCTGGGTGATTGCTATATATGTGGTTAAATCAGTGTGACCCCTTCCACCCTCAATTTTTATATCTCATCTTTAAATCTGTCTTCCCTCTTTAAATTTTCCTGACAAGATTAACATTGTGAGATATTCTTGTAGTAACAAAATTAGGAAAGTGTCTTTCCTCTTACGGTGGAAGATTACTACGAGTTGAAGGGTTTTCTTCTCCATTGCAGGTTCCTCCAGACAGCTGAAATGGTAAAGCCCTCCACGCCGTCTCCCAGCCACGAGTCCAGCAGCTCTTCTGGCTCCGATGAGGGGACCGAATACTATCCACACATTGGTATGGAAGAATAGAAGCTTTTTCCCTCTGTCATTGTCCTGTCTCCAAACGAAGAGGAGTTGGGCTGGGAGGCAGGAAGTGGCAGGTGGCTAAAGTAGAAAATTGTGAAGAAGGGTGGGACTAGGAGAGGCCAAACAGAAGGACATCACCACAAGTCCTTCTTTATAGTGCCCTCCTGTGTGTGCGGTGGAATGTAGTCTGGATTCCCAGGAGGGAGGGGCTGTAATACAGAGGGCCAAGAGGCTACTTAGTATAGATAGCTTAACTGGGAGGAAGAGAGTGAAGATCAGCAATCCCCCATCTATCCGGCTCTGTGGACTGGCAGCAGTGGCGGTAACGGGGGTGGGGGATAGTTTCGTGCTTGCATTTGCCGCTTGTGCAAACGAAGCTTTGCATGCTCGCCTGCCACTTGTGTGGCCCGGTTCCCAAAGGGCCGTGGATCCCTGATCAAGACAGCTCTTCCCTGGACATTCTTAGGAGTATATATTTAATGCTGCAATTACATTTGTTTGCAGGTTTCTCTTTAAAGATGAGGAACAATAAAGGAAACTGCTTAGAATTAATTCCTTATTGTCTTTCTTGATTCTTGGGGCCTGACACTTGTGTGGCACAGTGGTTAGAATGCAGTACTGCAGGCTAATTCTGCTGACAACCAACCGCCAGTAGTTTGGCAGTTCAAGTCTCACCAGCTCAAGCCTTCCATCCTTCCGAGGCCAGTAAAATGAGAGCCTAGATTGTTGGGGGCCATATCCTGACTCTGTAAACCGTTTAGAGAGGGCTGTAAAGCACTATGAAGCAGTATATGTCTAGTTGCTTTCCGTATTTTTTTTCCTTTCTTCTTGCACGAGAATGAAACTTCTTTGCTTGCAGATTTCTAGATTCTGTCATCATACGGGATCTTCCTGTACACATGGAAGGTTGCATACTTGCTCCAAGTATGAGAACAAGAGAACAAGAACTCATGATTCTTGATCATTCTCTCCCCACCCCACCCCTGCCCCCCAATCTCTAGTTTTTCTCCAAAACAAAGCCAAGAGGGAAAACTTCTGCCCTCGGAACCTGAAACAGATGCATCTTGTTATTGACAAGATTATGATGCATTCACATCTGAAATACAAAGGTAAGGACCTGCTTTCCAATTCGCTTGGAGGACTGAGCTACAGTTCTTGACTGGGAATGCAATTCAAATGGGTAGTGGACAAACTTGATAACTGGTGTGAGGAATATGAGATGCTGCCATGGACTCTGGAGGAATTCATCCAGTATTAAATCTTCTCGTGTCTGAAAACGGTCTTGCAAAAAATTAAGTAAGCAAACAGTGCTGTGACTTTCTAAGTATGGTTTTTAAGATAGACTTGGGCAATACGGATCTTTTACAAAAGATGTGCAAAACATTTCATGAAAGGACCAACCAGTATTGGAAGGGCTGTGTTTGGATCAAAGCATTATGGGCATGGATTTGGAGCATATACTTTTGATCCGGAGGCTGTTCTGGAGTATGTGTTTTCGGGCAGAATTGTGGGATGGGAGACAGCAGGGGAAATTCAAGGCCATCCAGATTGGTGTGCGGGATTAAATGTAGAGGGAACCTGGGAACCAGAAGGTGAGGAACTAACTGGGTCTTCTAACTGATGACCAACGCTGTTCCTGGCTGTCGTTCGATGCTCAGATGCTGTTCCACTAGATGATGTACAGTAGAACCTCTGGTCACGACCATAATTTGTTCCATAACTTTGGTGATTTCTTTGTCTTCGAATGTTTCATCTTCAGGAATTTTGGGTCAGGGGTCGGTCATGTTTGATCACCACCTGAGTAGGTGTTCATGACCAGATTCAAAAATTCTGTGAATTTTTTTGGTCGTGGTAAGAAGCATTCATGACCAGAGGTTCTCCTGTATAGAATCGGTCAGCTAGTGGATTAACTTTGGAGGATGAAGATGCCCACTCAAAGGAAATGTCCATTCAACAGACTCACATTCTGAGGAGCTGTATGCATCACAAGGAATTGGTACCCATCCCCCCAAAAAGAGAAAGAAAAATATATTCACTCACTAATAGAAACTTGGATTCACTTTTTCCTGGAAGGCTCAGCCTGGCAAAAGACAGGGAAACTTATAAGTTCCATATTTTTTCCCCCCTAATAGGTACCCTTTCCATGCTCGAATGTAACATATTCCCCGGCCTGCCACAGAGCTACCTGGACACAGAGGTCAACCTGTTCTTACTGCCCTTCATGGATTCTGAAACAGATGATGTGCTGCCCAGAGCAAGTGAGTCCCGAGAATTCACTTCCCGGCCTTTTCTTGTCCTTAGGTCAGAATACAAAGCTCCTCTGTTTCCTTCTTCCAGACCAGTTCCTCTCCAAATAAAACATCCAGATAGAGCAAACGTGCAAAACATTTCAAGACTGAAAACATCATTCCGGCTGAAAAACAAGCACATTCTGGAGTCAGATCACTTCAGGGCCACTGTGAACCAGGCCTTCTGGTTTTGGAATACCTTGAAATGTTTTGAACACTTCCCCATACATAAAGATGATAAACCTGAATTTAAGATACTCACTTAATTAGAATAATCTGACTTGGAACAGCAGTTGCTTTCATTATGGAATTTTGTATCGATTGTTTGAGGCAGAAATAGAGAGGGGATACTACCATTTCCTGCTTTTGGGGTTTTTTTCCTCCACACATATATATTTTAATACAGCATGCTGTTTCTCTCCAAAACAAGGAAAATCTGATCTGAGCTTTGCATTTTACTAAGGAGTGCTTAATAGATAATTTTAATGAGAAACAGGGAAGAAAAGACGAAGTTTTTTTTCTCCCTGACAGATTTCTGCTCGACATCATGAGTTGTATAGTTCTGTCCCAATAAGTTCATAGAATTTTGGGGCTTCCATTTGTTTGAATATTGAATTGGGCAGGGATTCAATTTTCGGATCCTAAGAAAAGAAATAAACTTGCTAAAGATGTGGGGGATGGTAGCCGTTGCCTTCCATGTTCCTGTGGGATCGTTCACAGTCTTTTGGGGACTTGTTGGCCTTGCCCAAAAAGGGAGTAAACACCCCATCTTCCATTTAACTTTACAGCCCCGGGAAGCGGCCCTCTCTTCTCCCTCCTTCCTGGATACAAAGGACACCCCAGCTTCCAGTCTCTCATGGCCAAGCTTCGGAGCCAGATGATGTCCATGTCCCGGCCTCAGCTCTCCCATACGATCCTGACGGAAAAGAACTGGTAAGCATGTGTTTAACTGCAGCTAAGGCCGGTGGGACTTGCGGCAGCCAAGACATCCTAGATCAGATCCTCCGTCTCACACCTTGGAGTGTTCTGACCTAGGCTTCACAAAAACACGAAGCAGACTCCCCGTCCTGACATTATTTAAGCTAATGTGAATTCCTCTCATTCACATCCAGCAATGTCCTGGCAAACAGTCTCTTAAGAGTGGTTTACAATCACAGACCTTATCAGGCTTGCAGAGTTGCCAGGCCGATAGCTTCAGAGTGCCATGCTGTAACAGAAAATACCTGGCAAGGAGTCAGGAACCAATCTTCACCCTAATTAAATGAATTAATTGTCTCCTGCAAACACCGCTCACCTTTCACTCCTCTTTTTTCCTATGGGAGGCGTCATTCACCGTCCACCTGAGCCTTTAATCCTGAGTCAACCCTTGTTCCTTAACTATTCTCTTCTCCTGGCAGCTCTGCGCATGCACACACTGGGAACAGACTCCAGCTGTTCTTCGGCCTGACTGATGTCTGACTCTGAAGGCAGCTGATAACTGTCAGAGAGCCCTGGCCCCATCTCTGCCTCTGATGCAGAGCCCTCGTCAGAGCCTTCCCCAGACTCCAGGACTGGCCCGTGTTCCTCCCCAATCTCTCACTGTCCGAGTCTGCCATCAGCTCCGCTGGCCACTGGCGGGCCACAACATGGAGGAGGAAGCTAATTGGCGTGCTCCAGACCTCTTGTATCAGACACCATAGCCTTCGCCAGGGGTGGAGAACTTTCCATAATGGAGAACTTTCACCTAGTACACATTGACCTGAGTCCTGATATTTCCTCCCCAGGTTCCACTATGCAGCGCGCATCTGGGATGGCGTCAAGAAGTCCTCTGCTCTCTCTGAGTATAGCCGGCTGCTGGCGTGAGCACAGTGTCTCCATACTGGAACTGCTGAGAGGCTATTGCCATCCCTGAGCTGGAGCAGACCAGGGTATCTGCCCCATCACGCCGAGGCCCAGGACGCTATGTCTCCCGGAGAAGGGAGGTGCAGCTCCTTCGGTGGTCCAGGAAGATTTAAGAGGAAAAATGCAGGATTGGCTTTGCATCCCTAAAGGACCATCTTGTTCAAAATGGATCTTGTCCCTTGGGGTCTGGCCTAGATGGAAGAGCTGCTCCTGTACTAATTCCAGAGCTGCTGGGTCTTGAACAAGGGAGGGTTCAAATCTGCAATCTCCTGATGGGAGGGGGGGGCATTGAAACTCCTCTGCATCGCAATAGCAGGTGAGGCCAAAGATCAGTGGGGAATTAGTGTTGTTTGTTTATTCGCAGGGTTTCCACCCTACTTCAGTGTGTCATTCATAAAAGCTTTCGTTTTGCGGGGCATGTATCTTGCCTTCTTATCTCTCTATTCCAACCTGTGTCCCTTCTGCCTGTTTGGCCCTATTTTTCCTGGTCCCCTGATGCAAACTGGACAGACTTCTTTGCACGGATGGTTATTCTTGTTTAATAAACTGTTGAAGTTGCTTCCATTTTGATGGATGTTTTGACACACACAGACACACAAAAATAAATCACTGTTGTGTGATCACCTGCACTTTGCAAGTATTGGAGGAGTGTCATTCTAAAGATGCAGCAGTTTTCACAATCGTTTTTATATGTGAGATGAGAGGTATCTAGGAAAGTATTATAGCAGGGTCTTCTCATTTTTTATTTGCAATTGGATTCTTTTCGCCTTCAATTTTGTCTAGCAAAATTGGCTCCGGTTTGAACAATTTAGTCCAATACAGATTGAAGATAAGATTTGATTGAATTAGGGTCTTCAAGTCACTTTCAAAAATCAGTTTGACTTTGAACAGATCTTTAAGTCGATTCAGTTCAGTTTAACTTGAATCATCAATCCAAAATGGACTTGATTGAATGGCTTTGAATTGAAATCTATGGATCAAAACCTCACCTCCTATGTTTCTAATATAGTGTTTGCTCTCCAGTTTTAGACAGTATTGTGAGTTTCATCCAGTATTGCTTTGCATCTGAAGAGTGGCAGAATCCTAAGACATAACATGCACATTCAAATTTGTCACAGTATCCAAATAAATTGATGTAAAAGTTTTTTAAAGGGTCTTATTTTTTGGCAAGGAACTAATATTTTTATTTGTAATGTTTCTGACTTAGTATCTTTGGGGTGCCCCAGAAATTCTTTTTCCAAAAGGCAGCTGGACTTCCTTGGTTTTTTTCCTTTGAAAACATTTCATGTCTCATCCAAGAAGTTCAGAAGGAAGTTTCTTGGATGAGAAGCGATTTTCAAAGGGAAAAAAACAAGAAAGTCCAGTTGCCCTTTGCAAAAAGCACCTTTGGGAAAACCATGGATAATTGAAAATCTCCCTAGACATCTTTGGAATGCAACTGCAGGAAGTGAAAAAAAAAACCCAGGAATTTTCTTTTCATTCAAACTTTCTTTCTTAAAAACTGTGTAAAGTTAAAAAAAAAACCTTCCTGGGAATAAAAAAGTAAATAAACTAACTTGCTCATATTGATGTTCATCCATTGTGTTTGAAGAGGACCTTGACATCTAACGGGTTATGTGCTCTCCATGGTGTGCCTGCAGGTGGCTAGCAAGGCCTTGCTGATATTAGAAGTGAAAGAGCAACTGGTTTTTTAAAAGAGTTTTGGACCTGATTTTATTTCATAAAGATGTGAATCACAAGGCAACCAAAGTTACATGGAGCACTTGCATCTATTCCTGAGATGAGATGTTCAACAGGGAATGGGAAAGTAAGTCAGAAATGAAAAAATGGAAGAGCCAGGATTTTTATATATAAGGCATGACATAGACCCATCAGAAACTTAACAGCAACAATTTTGCAGTTTTCTTGGTGGATTTTTTTAAGCAGATCAAATTGTTGCTGCAAAAGAGCAACTTTTGAATGATCCATTGTCATTCTACAGGTTCATTCACAAAAGCTTCTAGCTGCTCCATTCACACAAAAATGTTTTTACTCATTCACCCAACACAAAAATGTGACTGAACAGCATGTATCAACATAGAAGAAAAAGTCAAGAATAACTGAATGATCAAGCACCCTGAAGTCATTGACTCCAAGCAGTCACACAGATTTTCTCTATGATGATCTGTCCTCAGTCTGATCTTTTCAGTCTACTTAAAAAGTGCACTCCTTGCCTCTGTAACTGAATCCATCCACCTCAGTGATGACCTCTTTCCTTCATTCTTTCCCAGTGTTACTTCTTCTCCAGAGAATAGCAATAGCACTTAGACATATATACCACTTCACAGTGCTTTTACAGCCTCTCTAAGCGGTTTACAGAGTTTGCCCCCAACAATCTGGGTCCTCATTTTACCAACCTCAGAAGGATGGAAGGCTGAGTCAATCTTGAGCCTGGTGGGATTCGAAGTGCCAAATTGCAGGCAGCCGGCAGTCAGCAGAAGTAGCCTGGAGTACTGCATTCCAAACACTGCGCCACCACAACACTAGAATAACAAGAGTTGGAGGTCTTCTAATCCAGCTTCCTGCTCAAGCAGAAGGCTTGTTCCTTGACGGCTTGTGGCTTTATTGTTGAACAACTGAGAGAAGTATTAAAATTCACTATTCACTCTTGAAACTATTATTTCAACCCGGGGCCATCCAGTTCTTCAGGAAATCTCAAACATTCATTATTGGTACCAATCTGCAATTTGATAAATTACTCCGCTTCAACTAAAATGAACCAGCACAATAAGGAAGTCTACCTTTTACAGTTTAAAAAGCAGATCATTGAGAGGAGGTCTTTGATTGATGAAAATGAAGATGATGTTATCGTATCCAAACCTTGATGATTCTATGGGCCAGATCTTGCAGTACTTTTGAGCTTTTCTGTGCTCTGTCTGGTGTCAGCTTTGATGGTTTGGTCAGTTATTGAATGTGTCAAATATAGGAAATCCTAAATACAGGGCAATTTGTGCTTTACAAATACAAACCAACTTCATCCTTGTTTGTCTTTCCCCGAAGAACACTGGGAATCATAGTTTTACAGTGATGACATAATTAATATCCTGGAATCCGCCATACTCGCTATATTTTGCAATAAATGGAAATAAAGTGGCCCACTGCTCAACTACCATAAAAAAAATATTGCAAAAGGCCACATTTTGTGCTTCATGTTTTTCCCCCCTCTTCCAGCTGGTGAATTTAGTTATGGGCTTGTGAAAACAACAATATTTGATTCTGTACACCTAATGTTAATTGCGCGCTCATTTCCAATCTGTTCCTAATCACTCCCAATCATTCCCAGTCTAAATTCCTTCAGACCTCAGATTCATAAGCCTTGATGAAAACCTTTTGGGCATCGTCGGACAGCTCATCCAGGCAGCTCTTGAGCATGTAGTAGGTGGTGCCAAATGAGATCCCTCCAGCTGCCATGGAACCAAAGATGGGTATTGTGCTGACGAAGTACTCCACTAACATGAGTGCCCCCCCAGCCGCTTTGGTGAGCAGCTTCAGAACTAAATCTCTGGAGATCTCTTTAGCTAGCGGTGACTTTATTACCTCTTTGATCTCCTCCACGGGTTTGTTGGCCTTCTTAGCCAACCTGGCAAGAGATTCCTCATCCAGACCAAAACTGTTGCGGTATTTTGTGAGATATTTGATCAGGATGGTTACATCACAGGTTACCCCAACGCCTGGAATAGGGATAGCAGCCGCTCCAGCGGAGACAGTAGACAGCTTCCAGATCTCTCTCTGTAAAGCCAACTTCTTTTTCTGCAGGATGGCTAGAGAGATGTTTGGCAGAGCCAGGAGAAAAGCATGTCTCTTATGGCTTGGCAACTCCTTCTCCAAGGTTTCCTCCAGCATCCCAAAGTCGTATTTCTTTATCTCCCAGTTGGAGAGAAGGAACACTCTGGAATTGGGCATATTCTCAGCCCTTAAGCACTTCTGGCAGTTTTCTCGCATCTGTCTCAGTATCGCCTCCTCATTGTAAGTTTGTGGTCGGCGTTTTCTGCTGGCCTCCAGCTCTAAATCCACTTTGGAGCGCACAAAATAGAATTGTTTCCTCAGGTGAGAGATTTTCTGTGCCAGCTGGACGTGGCTGGCCTTGAAGCGTTCTGAGGCAATGAGGATGAAGAAGTCATAGCGGGAGAATTGAACCTGCTTCAAGTAAGTGCTGGCGCGGAATGTTGGTGTACCAATTCCAGGTAGGTCCCACAGGGTGACATTGGGGTGCTTGGGGTGTGGGTAAGGTGTGGGCTTCTCTGTGGTCTCCACTACTCCAGTGGGAGCAGAACCAGTTTCCTCATCTCCTAGCCCTCGGATGGCATTGATGAAGGAGGATTTCCCTGAGCCGGATTCTCCCGTTACTGCTATGTCCAAACAGATGTCCTCCAGGGCTTGAAGGTTTTCCATAATCTTGGAAATGGCTTTGTCCATTCTCCCTTCTTCAAGAGCATTCTTAATCTCTTCAATATCTTCATTGACATCATAGTCTTTGAAAATATCCTCCTCCTCATTTGATGGTATGAATTGATCCTGCATTGCCATAGCCAAGCCTAGGAGAAAAGGAGAGGAAAGAAGGACAATATTATACACGGGGTGAGTTATTTACAACTTCTGGAGGCAAGTTGCTCCACTGATTAATTGGTCCAACTGTCAGGAAATTTCTCCTTAGTTCTAAATTGCTTCCCTCCTTGATTAGTTTCCACCTGTTGCTTCTTCTGCCTTGAAGTGCTTTGGAGAATAGCTTGACTCCCTCTTCTTTGTGGCAGCCCCTGAGATATTGAAAGACTGCTATGATGTCTCTCTTAGCCCTTCTTTTCATTAGACTCGACATACCCAGTTCCTGCAACCGTTCTTCATATGTTAGCCTCTAATCCAGTCCCCTAATCATCTTTGTTGCTCTTCTCTGCACTCTTTCTAGAGCAAGGGGTCTTCAAACTTGGCAAGTTTAAGACTTGTGGACTTCAACTCCCAGAATTCCTGAGCTAACATGACTGGAGGAGGAATTCTGGGAGTTGAAGTCCACAAGTCTTAAAGCTGTCAAGTTTGAAGACCTCTGTTCTAGAGTCTCAACATCTTTGTCAATAGAAATGAATTTATTTAGCAACCCAGCAAAGTTCCTTCAACTGAGTTCACGTGCCACGCTAAGTCTTACATTATTTGATTTAGTTGATAACCGGGATAACTACGAAAACTTTGTCAGTTAAATGTCTGCGGGCTCTTTCCATTGAATTCTGCTTTGGTACCTCACCAGCCATTTTACCTCACATATCCGAACGAGTGTATGTTGTTTCTCTGTGTCATATAACATATGTGGGTCTGGGTATATGCATGATGTTTTCTTTGTTTATATTTTTGTCATGTTTCTGTAGTGTATATTGGAGGTAATGACCCTTTGAGAGCTGTATGCAATGAAATTTCATTTTAATATATGCCAACTAGTGTACATTTTAAAATGACAATAAAGTTATTCTTTTTTAAAAATATATTTTTATTAAGTTTCTTTTATTACATCATAAAACATCATGGTTTTGACAGCACTCTTGACATCCATACAGGTTCTTGTTTTAAACATCATAATGCATTATATTACATTTGTCTAATATTAACTGATAACTTCAACTATAACTACTCTCCTTATATCTTTGTATAATTTACAAATTTATATTTTACTCTCTTAAGGATTACTCCAGTTGGGTTTCTTGTCTCACTTCTTAGTTCTGTTGGTTAACCATTTATACCAATTGTTCCAAATTAAAAAGAATTCAGTCATCTTTTTCTTTCATGTTAACGTGTTCATCTCAGCACTTTCCGTTATTTTATGTATTATCAATTCTTCGTTAGGGGTATTTGGAGTTTTCCATAGGGACAATAAAGTTATTCTAAGTTCTAATTCTGCACCAGACTATGACAAACAACAACTTGCTCCCCTTATTACCTTTCCTCCTTTCTTCCAGGTTGGATTCCAAAAGGTGACAAAGCCGTTTTCTTTCCCCAGCCCATTGTGAATCCTTCTGTTCATTCCCTCTCTCTTTTCAACCTCCCTCGCAGGGTTGTTGTAGGAAAACGGAGGAGGAGGAGGGAAGCACTACGTTTGAACTGCTGAGCCAAAAGCAGAATAATAAAGGCTGCTTTCCTTCCCACCCACCCCATTCTCTGCCCCAAGGCGACTTGCTTCTCTTTTAATCTTGCAACCTTTGTCTCCATCTGCCTCCGTTTTCTTTGGTCCCATCCCGGTGCATTTCCCCCCTCCTCCCCGTTCTCTCTCCTTCCTCTAAACTTGATCGCCGGAGTGGGAGCTCCCCGGTCCTTTGGGCTCCCGGGGCGCCCTTTTGGAATTTGGACGGGGTGTTTTGTGTGCTCGTCACCTTTACAGCGTCAACAAAGCCGGGCAACCCTTGTCCCTGGAGCGGCAGAGATGCTCCGAATAATAAGCCAACATGGGCAAACAGCCGCCCTGTCCCGTAACTTTGACTAAAGCCCCGGGGTGTCGGGGGGGGGGGGTGTCGAGGGGAGATCGAGGGACGGCGGAGGCTGCCGGGATGCGCTCTCCCCGCCACCGCCTCCGGACTGACTTTACCTGCGGCCGGAGAACTCGGGAGCCGAAGCGCTTTCTCGTCGCTGCCGCTTCCGAGCGGCGCTTCCTGCTTCTGGCTTGCTCGTCTGAATTGGCTCCGGAGTTTTGTTTACGCGTTGGCGCGGCTGCCCTCTCCTGGAAGGAACTCGTCCGTGGGAAGCCCAGGCGGGTCTCCTGCCGAAAACGCGGAAAACGCCCCTGGCTTGGCACGAAAGCTGGGGTGGAAGAAGGAGGGAGGGAGGGAGGGAGGGAAGGAGAGGCCAGAGAGCTAAGAGAACGAAGAAGAGAGGAAAAAGAGAAAGAAAGAGAGGACAGAGGAGAGAGGGAGGGAAAAGAGAGAGAAAGAGAGAGAGAGAACAAAGAAAAACAAAGGGGGAGAGAGGGAGGGAGACAGAGAGGGGGGGACAAAGGAGAGAGGAAAAACAGAGAGAGGGAGAGAGGGAGAAAGTGACCACCTCAAGGCCTTTCTTTCAGTTTCCAATTTCTTTAAATGATGGTGTGGCACCTTAAGTTTCTAAACGAACATATCGGTTGAGACTTTCCCAGATCTATTAATAAATAGCTTTGGGACCTGTTCCAGGAACCCGGCACTGTATCTGAAAGAGGCTTCCTTCTATTGTTGGAATGCGCGCAAGAAAATTATCCGGTGGATTGTGTTTACTGGCAACCATTTTGTGTACAGAATGGCTAATGCTCAGTTATAGAGGCCCCAGCTAAGATTCTGTGCAGTTCAGAGAACCCCCAAATCCCACTCATGGCTGCCCATGAGTGGATGCAAGTTTTGGATGCAAGTAAGTGCAGCGTGCATGTGGAGGCTCAGGGAAGGTGAAAAACAGGCCTCCAGGAAGTTTGGGAAGGCCAGAGGTTTCCAGCTTCCAGAGAGCCTCCGGAGCCTGCGGAGGCCGTTTTCAACCTCCCGGGGGCTCGAGGAAAGCCTCCGGAGCCCGGGGAGGGCAAAAACGTCCCCCCACCCCAGGCCGCGGTGCAGAAGGCAGACTAGACCACACCAGTGATGGGATTCAAAATGTTTTACTTCTGGTTCTGTGGGCGTGGCTTGGTGGGCAGGGCAGGGGAAGGATATGCAGTAAAGTCCTCCCCACTCCACTAACCTGCTTTCCAGCTCCATTCTCCAGCTGGATACCACTTGTGTCGCGGGCACCTGTGGTGGACAAGTGCTAAGACAGGATTTCCCCTCTGACCCTCCCACACTCTCATTATAATCTTCCTTCCTTCCTTCCTTCCTTTTCTTCTTTTTCCTTCCCTCTTCCTTCTCCTTCCTTCTTCCTTCCCCTCTTTCCTTCTTTTTCCTTCCTTGCTCTCGTCCCATCTTCCCTTCTTTTTCTTTCTCTTTCCTCTTTCCCTTTCTCCTTTCTCCTTTCCTGGGCCTTCTTGCACACTCAAATGCAAAAGGGGAAACATTTCTCCTTTTGTTTTGTTTTTACTTGGGCTATGTTGGGCTCAATTGTGATAGTAAGTTGAGGACTACCTTCCTTTCCATGACCTAATATGCTACCTCTCATCCACAGAATGTAGGAGGATAGCAATAATAAATATAAATACTGGAGCACCACTTGAACACCAGTGGCATTGACCAAATCTCCATCAGTCAATTGCAGAAGGCCACTATATTTGGAATAGTTTACATACTAAGGTAATAGTAGCTTTAATGCCATCAAGTGACACATCTGCCTATCCCAAGTCCTTGGGAAGGACTCAATAGCTGGATAAAAATGACAACTCTAGTTTAAACAGATGGCTGACTATGCAACAAACTATAATAATAGAATAACTGAAGGCCCACACTAGCTAAAGACCTGGTAGCTGTGATTCCACATTCTTGTGAATAGATAATAATACTTTATTAATTAATCATTATCACAATTACAATTTTTTCAATGACATGACGAAGTAGCAATGATGGTGTGGTGATGGAAGATCTGCAAGAATTTCCATTTGCCTGTAAGAAGGAACCAATGGGATCACTAAATCGATCCAGAAATAGAAAACGAAAAGTGCTCTTGAACTTTAAAATTAAAATAGGCAAGCACTTGAAACATCACAAGCCAGACTTAACACATGTTGATAAGAAAAATAAAGAAGTCTGTATAGTGGATGTGACAATCCCTGGAAACAGCAGAACAGAAGATAAAAAAAACTGGGGGGGAAAAGTCACAAAATACAAAATCCTGCAAATATAAATAGAATGATCGTTACAAAGCTGGTATCAGCAGTTATAGGTGCAATCCTAAAACATCTGAAGGACCACTTGAACACTGTTGGCATTGACACAATCCCCATCAGTCAATTGCAAAAGGCAGCTTTACCAGGAACAGCTTACATCTCATATTGTTAACACCATCAAACAATATCCGCCTTTCTCAGTCCTTGGGGGGAGCTTGACAGGAGGATAAAAATGGCAAATCCAGTCTAAACATCTGGCTGACTATGCAACCAAGTCTAATACGAATTTACTTTATTGATTAACCATTAGGCAAATATCAGAATACAAAATACAAATGAACAGTAATAAGACCCTATCTTTGAAAATAAAATAAAGGGCATAAATAAAATAAAGTGGAAATCATATGTTTTACCAATCAGATTCACATAGGCACTTCTCATACTGCTTTGTTGAGATAAAGGGCCATATTATATGTAATTGAAGAGGGGGGGGATTGTGGAATTTTTTTTCTGATAAGATGGAAGCAATATAACTATGCACGTTGTGAGTTTTCTATCATACAAATCTATATTTCATCTAATCAAATTTCAGCTTTGCAAAATTTTGTTCTAGCTAAGAATCGAACTTGGTCCTTGATTGACAGTGGCTCCCATGCTACAAAACATAAGTTGGACAGGAAGAAAAATACTATATTTTGCCTATTAAGTTAAATTAAAACTAAATTTAATGGGACTCCTGTCTGGTCATGGATTTAATAATTTCCCCACATCTGTCACATTAAAAAAATGCATAATTCCTAAAAATAAAATAAAAAAACCTTCAATTTGCAGTAATTTTTGGAACTGCATCCAAGGATTTGAAAGCTGGGTGGTTTTTTGTTTTTACGTTGTTGGGCCAATAATAATTTAGGAGTTTTCAGGTTCTGTCTTCTTCGGTTTGAAAGCTGTAATTACAATATTCTGGATATCTTTCTTAACATCTGACGGAAGTTTATTCAGGGTGAAGAAAGAGGAAATGAGTGAAATTACTGCCGACAATATGCAGCCAATGATGGGGAAACGATTCCAATAAATATATTCTGCAATCATCACTGAAGATCCCAGGGAATCTGGCAGCTTCTGTAAAACCATTTTCTTTTTGGATTGCGAGGTCATCATTGATTTCAGATCTGGGAGTAATACTTTAATTAACTCTGCAACTTTGGAGAGAGATGGGTCATCCACACCAAATTTACGGCAGCACCAGGAAGCAAACGTCATGAGGATGACAAGGCCCCCTAAGAATGCAATTCCTGGGACGGGGATCCCAGCTATAACTCCGGAGAGAACAGTGAGCAGCCAGCTCTTTTTCTTCATTTTTTTGGCCTTCCCTTCCAAAACAGGAGAAAGGACAGCAAGAATCTTCTTCCACAAGACCTCGCTCATCAAGGTTTCCCGTAGATAGGGGAAATCAAAGTGCTGAGGATCCTTGTTGGAAACAGCAAAGATCTGAGGTTCTTTCACCCCTTTATTTCTCAAGGACTCCCTGCAGGAACCTACCATGAGGAAGAGACACTCCTTACCGTCCTTAGATGGTCGTCGCTTCTTAGCTTCCTCCAGTTGCAGGTCTGCCTTAGTTTGAACCAGAAAAAACTCTTTGCCCATTTTTTGGATCTTAAGCGCCAGGTACAAAGGAGTAGCCTGGCAAATCTGAGGGTCTACTATGATGAAGTAATGGAAGTCCTTTAAGTCTACCTCCTTGCCATCGGCGTCTTCTGCCCGAAGCAATTCCTTGTTCCACGTGATCTCTGAAAAATCAACCTGACCGAATTCTACCCTCGTGCCTTTTTTTGTTGCAACATCAGCTGCATCGGGCTCATCCAGGTGTGGGCCCTGCACGGTGTTAATGAAGGAGGACTTCCCGGCACCTGGCTCTCCTACCACAGCAATGCGGAGAGGAAAATCGGCAAAGGACTTGCTCGGTTGGTCCAGAATGTGAGAGAGGGCCTCGGTGAGCTTCCCTTCAGAAATAGCTGCCTCAAATTTTTTCCTACGTGAGGATCCAAATGTACCGTAATCATGTCCAGAACTGCAAAAGAGGGGAAAGTGAGAAGATAGTAAACCTCAAACATTTCCACCGGCGGTGGGATTCAAATTTATTACTACCTGTTCTGTGGGTGTGGCTTGGTGGGCGTGGTGTGGCTTGGTGGGTGTGGCTTGATGGGTGCGGTAGGGGAAAGATACTGCAAAATCCCCATTCCCTCCCCACCCCACTAACCTGCTTTCCAGCTCCATTCTCCTGTGCAGGGCAAGAAGAAGATCCAGCTGATCAGCTGGGACTCGGGAGGCAGAGAATAGATGGGGGCGGGCCCAGTCAGAGGTGGGATTTACCGGTTCTCTAGACTACTCAAAATTTTCACTACTGTTCTCCAGAACTGGTCAGAACCTGATGAATACCACCTCTGAATCCCACTCTTTGGAGCAGAACCATTTGCAGGCAACCCAGAAGAGTCAAAATGTCGGCCATGACCCTTCCATCAAAAGTTTGCACCTTTTTTGATGTGCGTTGCCTGGGCTAAGCCTGTAAAAAAAGGGTGGTGACGGCGGCTTTGATCACATGATTGTAGCTGCCATCTTGACTTTCTGAACCTCTCCTGAGGATGAATGCTCTTGGCTTGGTGATGTAGTAGGTCATGGCTGCCCAACCTTTTGGCTTGCCCTGGACAATTTTTGTATATAATATGCAGCCCAAGACAATTTTTCTTGACTCAGGTGTTACCAGCTCAAGGTTGACTCAGCCTTCCATCCAGATTGTTAGGGGCAAGAGGCTGACTCTGCAAACTTCTTAGAGAGGGCTGTAAAGCACTATAAAGTGGTATATAAGTCTAAGTGCTATTGCTCTCTCTCTCTGTCTCTCTGTCTCTCTCTCTCCTATCTATCTAATCAATTCTGTCTACATCTACCAATGCATCTCTCTCTCCAATCTTCCTCTCCTTCCTCTTCCTATTATCTATCTATCTATCTATCTATCTATCTATCTATCTATCTATCTATCTATCTATCTATCTATCGTTTTCTTTATTTATTAAACAATTGAGACTGAGAGATACAAATCAAGTGACTGCACAGTTAAAAGCAACAACAACAACAAAACAATAGGCAGTTGGGAACTAAATGCCTATTGTAAGCAAGCAAGCAAGTCTGGAAATAAGAAATTCAGTTCAAAAGTTATCCTTTACCTGCTTTCAGGTAGATTTTTTGGGTCACTTTCAGCCATGGTTTTCTTTTTTTCTCCCTCCTGGTCTTTTGCTTTGGTTTCTTTTTTTAATCTTCCCTCTTTTCCATAAGGAGCCTCCTTCTTTCTCCTCTTTCAGTTCAAGTTGTTTCTGCAGATATTGAAAAGGCAAGAACACCCAGAGACAATAAAAGGAAAGGTTTTTTTCAGGTTGATGAGGGATTGTACAAGTACAGAAAAGTACATTTATGTGCCCATTGGGAAACTGAAACATTTGTTTCATCGAGATGCCATCAAATCTGAACAGACTGAGTTTGTGTGTGACTTATTTCCCTTCCACGGATCTTCAGAAAACCACAATTCCTCAGGTACCCGAGGGGAATTATTTGAATGGGGCCATCATCTTTGCAAAGATCTAGAATGACTACAACCTGAAACAAAAAAAATGATCCAACACAACAAATTATAGATAACCAGATGTCTTCCGGATGTAGGTCAAGCATCAACCACTCTGAATCAGAGCTAAAATTACCTGGGTCAAATCCCTGGGTTGCATGGAGGCTATGAAATTTCATGTCAACTTGGACCCAGTTCTAAGATGGGATGTTCTTCAAAACTAAGGCATAGAGGGAAAGTCCTCCACAACCAGTTCTGCGAGGTTGAGGGCCACTGCAGTGATACACCAGCAAAAGCCCAGGTTTCTCCTCATAATCCAGATTTACGCACAGTTACTTACATAATACCTACCTCCAGGGCACAGTTACTGGTCACCAATGATGTGTCCTGAACGATCTCATCTACACATCCTCTCCAGTCCTAACATCTTGGCTGATGTAAGTTTTCAACTCTGGATGGGCAGGTTTCTTTATGTTTTGTTCTGAAATCATCATGAAATCTTGCAAGATTGTGTGTGTGTGTGTGTGTAGAGATACCTGAGCTCTTGCATAAAGTTGTGATAGTTAAAAACGGTTGATGATTTTTACCCAATAGAACGTTTGGTTACTCAAGTCTTCCTTTCTCCACCTCTCACTATTTTCTTCTTTCATTTCTCAACTTCTCTTTCTTATCTAAAGAGATATATCATGATTGTATGCTGCCCAGGGTCACCTTGTATGAAAGGGATAGCTATATAAATAGCAACAACACTTTATATACTGCTTCCATGGTGCTTTATAGCACTCTCTGAGCGGTTTACAATGTCAGCATATTGCCTACAACAGGGGTGTCCAACCTTGGCAACTTTAAGACTTGTGGACTTCAACTCTGGCTGAGGAATTCTGGGAGTTGAAGTCCACAAGTCTTAAAGTTGCCAAGGTTGGACACCCCTGGCCTACAACAACGTGGGTCCTCATTTTATGTGATCAATAAGTAAGTCAATAAAATATGAGTATTGTCTTCCATTCCTCTTGTCCTTTGTCCAAGCTATTATACTTTTTCATGGCACCATCAGAAGTCTTTCTGAATAACATTCCTTTTCTCTTTTCCACATTTTGTAATTTTACCATTTTGACTTCTCTATCTCTTGCTTCTTGTCCTGAAGGCTCCACCTCCATGTCTCTGCTAACTACAGCCTGAGATAGACTAACCACTTTCCTTGCTCGTTTTTACACCTGTCCATCTCTATTTTTTATTTATTTCATTTTTATTTATTTATTTGATTTGTCAATCACTTAAAGGATAATAAGAATAAATATAGTTATGAATACATGAAATGGATACATTTCAGAAAAATAAAAGAAACAATAGGACAGGGACGGTAGGCACATTGGTGCGCTTAGGCAAGCCCCCTACAGACCTCTTAGGAAAGGGGTGAGGTCAATAGTAGACAGTCTAAGGTTAAAGTTTTTGGGGTTTGGGGAAGAAAACGGAGTCAGGTAGAGTATTCCAGACATTGACCACTCTGTTGCTGAAGTCGTATTTCCTGCAATCAAGTGTGGTGTGGTTTACCTTGAGTTTGTATCTATTGTGTGCTCTTGTATTGTTATGGATGAAGCTGAAGTATTCATTGACAGGTAGGACATTGCAATGTATGATTTTATATACTATACTTACATCAGACCAAAGACGGCGTAGTTCTAGAACTAGGTCTAGAATTTCAAGTCTGGTGGCATAAGGTATTCTGCAATGAGTAGAGGTGTGTAAAACTCTTATTGTGAAATATTTCTGGACTTTCTCAACAGTGTTAATATCTCCCACTGTTAATACCTCTGCCTCTCTTTGGAGTCATCAAATAAACCTCCACTGAGATTTCTATAAACTATCCTGCCAAAAACTGAATAAAACTACTGAATTACATGAAATATTATCTATTTATATATGATGTATCTGAAATTTCGCAAATTTCAGGATTTGGTCTTGTTTTGTTGAAGTCTCTCTCTTTCTCAGGTCATAAGTTTTGTGTTGTGTTTGGTTGGTTTTCCTGTTTGTTTTGTAGGGTGAGAGGCCTGACCTCAGTTGTTGGATCGAGTCTCTCAAAATGCAACACAATTATAGGGATGAGAGTGTGGGAAAGTGAAAAAACCTTCCCTATTATGACATAAAAACTACTCAACCATAAGAACACTTATTGGTTTATATACGATATCTTTGAAATTTTGCAAGATTCAGGATTCAGGACTCCTGTTAGAAAAGCAACTATTTCTGGATGTACCCCACACTGCCTTGGCAGGGAATTATGGGGTTTGAAGTTCTTGAAATATCTGGGGAATGGTGGGTTGAAGTCCTGGGGAAAGCTGTGGAATTGTGGCAGTTGAAATCCACTCCTCTCAAAAGTTTGCTTTTACTTTTGCCAGAACCCGAAACTTAAGCTACTTTCATTTCTTGTAAAGGAAATGGAAATGATTGGCATCAGCAAAAAACTGGAACTCCCATAGTCAGAATTGCATGTGATAGGAAATGAGAGGAATATTTTGTTATTTGTGGGATGCAATGCACACAGCACTTAAAGGTTGACTGTATATAGGGGATTCAGTCCTTCTGTGAGGAATCTGGAGACACTGGACAGAGAGCAATCCCAACCTGCGTGGACCTCTTTGAGAATTACTCCTTTTAGAAAAGCAAGTAAGGATTTGTGTACACACCCTTCCCCGGTCGATGTTTAGGATGATTGTACATTGGTATTCCTTGGTTTTAAATTCTGTTGTCTTTGCAGGTTCTGTTGATCTTCCTATAAAGTAGCCTTAGATACCCTTTTCTTTTCTCCTAAAGAAGTGTGCCTTGTGCCTAGGAATTTGTGAATGGCTGCAGACGCTTAAAGGTTAAGGAAATCCATCCATCCTTTACTCCTCATTTCTGGAGCCAAAGATTTTGTGGGTTTTTCTTGGGAGTGAGCTGGAGGAGCAGCAGGCTGTTCTCCCCTGCATTTAATGATGCCTTCTTTGAGCTTACTCTGGATCTTGGGATATAGTTAATGACTGGCTCCCTTACATTGGTGCCAATGATTTTATTGACAAGAAAGGAAGACAACGGAATATGCACCAAAGGAAAAAACACAGGCCAGGAATTTAGAGTGGTGTTAAGAGGAGAGGTTCGCTTTGTCTGTCTGGGGAGGAGAACATCTGGAAAGCTTCTTCTATTCCTGGCTGGTTTTTCTCCTCCCACCCCGCCATCCTTCCCAATTGGCCTAGGTGCTGCAATTGTTAAAGACACCAATTGTAAGTGTATGGGAGACACAGCAATGGAATGCAGTAGAGGGAACTGTCAGATACAAGGCAGGTTACAAAGGGTAGGAACAGTAGACTCTGAAGAGACCCTCCCTAGTTTTTGGCAAAAACTGACCAGGAAAGGAAATGTTTTCAGGTCGGCAAGAATGATGTCTTTTCTGTCCTATTTCATGTCACGTGGCCACATCTGTAATCCTTTGGACACGTGACATGAGGTACATTTCCCAGGATACCTTTAACTACATTTCCCATGATGCATTCCCTTAAGGGGACAGCGCACAATTCCTAAGTAACTATCCAATTCCCATAGACTGGCTGGGATAGCACAATTTCAGCTTTAGGGTTTAGACCAGATAGGAAACATCAGCAGATGAGCAAATTCTACATTATTGTAAGGTTACCTTCATAGAATCTTGAAGTCTGAAAGTACTTCCATTTCCTTCAGGATGGAAGTGAACATTAGAAAAAAAACTTAAACCAATTCCTCCTTAACTGTCTTCCCTCCAAGAAGGAGGGAAGGGAAGGGTTGAAATAATAATCAAGCTTCCAACATTTGGAAACTAGGGCTTTGTAGGCAGGAGAGACAAGCAGAGATATGTAATATTCTTCATTTTAATTTTCTTTCAAAAGTCACTTTTCCCACCTCCCCCGATTTTTGTTCTTTTTTTAATTGCCATCAACTGTTTTTCATTTTCTAACTACATAGATAGTTCTTCCCCTTAACAGTCTATTCCCAAACCACTTTTTCAAGACTCTTAATGGCACACTCATTCCCATGTAACAGCCTACCCCATCCTCTTCCTTTCCACTTTCCCCACCATCAGCAAAGAGCTGGGTCTTCACATCATGTGTCCAAAGGAAGATAATTTGAGCCTGGACACTTGAGCCTCCATGAAAATTCTGGGTTGATTGGTTTAATGGTTCGTCGGTTTGAGTCCACGGTATTCTTGGGGTCTTCTCCAGCCTTAACATTCACAGGGCCAGACAAAGCTGAGAAGCATCCCAATCTCTCTTTTCCTTTCCAGATAATCTGCACAGAACAAAGAGCAACGATGGGCAATGAAATGACAAGGGATTTTCTAAGGAGACAATTTGAAAAATTCCAGAGAAATTTGAGTCAAGGCAGCATTCATGAACTGGCTGATAACTACCAAAAACATTTAAATGAGATGCAAAATCTGCCCCTTAATATTGCAGTCACTGGGCAGGCAGGTGCTGGCAAATCCTCCTTTGTCAATGCCTTCCGGGGTGTAATGGATGATGATGATGAGGCGGCTGAAGTTGGAACAGTCAAAGGAACCATGGTGCCAAAGGCATATCCCCACCCCTCTTGTCCCAATATCCAAATATGGGACCTTCCGAGGTTCGGAACGCCTATGTTTAAAGAAGCCGAATATGTGCAGAAAGTCCAATTTGAAAGATATGATGTCTTTATTATGGTTACCGCTGACGGCTTTACTAAAAATGATGCTTTGCTGGCAAAAGAAATACACAAAACGGGAAAGAAGTTTTATTATGTACGTAGCAAAATTGATATTAGTATCGAAGGTGAAATGAGGAAAAAGAATTTCAATATGGAGAAAACCCTGGCATGTATAAGGCGCTATAGTGAAGATAATTTGAGAATGGCAGGTGGTCCGTCTGCAAGAGTATTTCTGATTTCCAACGGGAAGGCAGACAAGTATCGTTATGATTTCCCTCTCCTGAGAGAGACAATGGCTGCTGAACTTCCTTACTACAAGAAGCATATTTCAACAATGGCTGCGCAGTTTTTCTCTGAAAGTGAATTGATGATGAAAAAAGCTGAAATAACATCATATATAAAGAAAGTGGCATTGGTATCTTGTGCTTGTGGAGTAGTGCCTGTTCCAGGTCTCTCTATGCTTTGTGATATTCCAATATTACTGGATGCTCTGAAATGCATCTGCAACGCATTTGGTTTCGATGCCAATTCGCTCCGTTTTTTGGCAATTCACACTGGAAAAGGATTTGAAGAGTTGAGATCGGCTGTCAAGAAAACTCCATTAGCCAACACAATAAACATAGGATTGGTATTTTCTCTATTGATGAGCTCATCTCTCTGGATTAATGTGTCGATTGTTGAAGTGGCTTTTACTTTTATACCTCTTATTGGGTCTGGGTTTGGTGGAGCAAGTTCATTTGCTGTCACATATCATTTTCTGAACACGTTTCTGGATGATGTTATGGAAGATGCCCGAAATCTTCGAGCAACGCTTCTTGAGTGATCCTAGTCCCAGGGAACCCTGTTTGAAGGAGACAGTCAAGCATTTCCTCCAATGAAAGCAGGGAAGGAAAATAATAATGTGCTTCAAAGCCATAGTAGAACTATCTATTTGCTTGCTCAATTGAAGTATGTGCTTGATCATATAAATATGTTGTTTTAGTCGGGTTGCTTTTCTTATTTTCTCTCTTTTACTTTTTCTGCTGTATTTGTAACAATAATAAATATTAAAATAGTGGAAATAATACTATCAAGCTACAAATTTTAATTTTTTCTGTTCTACCCTACCTACACACTGAGACAGACTAACCATTTTCCTTGCTCATTGTTATAACTATCCTCCATCCATCTCCCACTGCTAATGCCTCTGCTTCTCTTTACGGTCTCTGGAATCATACCCCATGCTGCCTTGGGAATTATAGCATTTGAAGTTCTTTTTTTTTAATAAAAGTTTTTTTTTTAAATAAAGTACAAACAATTCATCTTCCATTTAACGGTGTGTCATCTTGGTAGAGGTATCTTGTGCAACAATAATCAAAATTACTGCAATAATCTCTGTTTTAATCGTTCTAAGGAAATTTCTCCTTTGTTCCAGATTGCCTCTCTCCTTGATTATTCTCCAACCATTGCTTCTCCTCCTGGAGGTTGTACCTCCATCTCTCGTATGACCTCTGTTTGGGATCCCTAACTACAGGCTGAGGCAGACTAACCACTTTCCTTGCTCATTTTTACACCTTTCCTCTATCCATCTCCCACTGTTAATGCCTCTGCCTCTCTTTGGAGTCATCAAAGAGGCCCCCATTGCGATTTCCATAAATTTTCTGTCCAAAATTGAAATAAAACTACTCAACTACCTGAAATCTTATCTATTTATATATGATGTATCTGAAATTTTGCAAGGTTCAGGATTTGGTCTTGTTTTGTTGAAGTCTCTCTCTTTCTCTGGTTATACATTTTGTTCTGTGTTTCGTTGGTTCGCTTTTTTGTTTTGTAGGGCGAGAGGCCTGGCCTCGGTTGTTGGATCGAGTCTCTCAAAATGCAACACAATTATAGGGATGAGAGTGTGGGAAAGTGAAAAAACCTCCCCTATTATGACATAAAAACTACTCAACCATAAGAACACTTATTGGTTTATATACGATATCTTTGAAATTTTGCAAGATTCAGGATTTTGGACTCCTGTTAGAAAAGTAACTATTTCTGGATGTACCCCACAATGCCTTGGCAGGGAATTATGGGGTCTGAAGTTCTTGAAAAATCTGGGGAATGGTGGGTTAAAGTCCTGGGGAAAGCTGTGGAATTGTGGCAGTTGAAGTCCACTCCTCTCAAAAAGGCTTTTGCTTTTGCCAGAACCCGAAACTTAAGCTACTTTCGTTTCTTGTAAAGGAAATGGAAATGATTGGCATAAGCAAAAAACTGGAACTCCCATAGTCAGAATTGCATGTGATATGAAATGGGAGGAATATTTTATTATTTGTGGGATGCAACGCATACAGTATTTAAAGGTTGACTGTATATAGGGGGTTCAGTCCTTCTCTGACGAATCTGGAGACACTGGACAGAGAGCAATCCCAACCTGCGTGGACCTCTTTGAGAATTACTCCTTTTAGAAAAGCAAGTAAGGATTTGTGGACACACCCTTCCCCGGTCGATGTTTAGGATGATTGTACATTGGTATTCCTTGGTTTTAAATTCTGTTGTCTTTGCAGGTTCTGTTGATCTTCTTATAAAGTAGCCTTAGATACCTTTTTCTTTTCTCCTAAAGAAGTGTGCCTTGTGCCTAGGAATTTGTGAATGGCTGCAGACGCTTAAAGGTTAAGGAAATCCATCCATCCTTTACTCCTCATTTCTGGAGCCAAAGATTTTGTGGGTGCTTCTTGGGAGTGAGCTGGAGAAGCAGCAGGCTGTTCTCCCCTGCATTTAATGATGCTGTTGTGGTCCACCAGGCAGCCTGCAGAGCTGGCAGCAGAGTCAGACAGTGGGGAAGGACATGAGCCAATCCTGGAGTTTGGGGAGGGCTTGGATGAGGGATCTGCATTTGATACAGAGAAGGGGCCAGGGCCATCTGAGAGTTATGTACTGACTCCGGAGCCTCTAGAATCTGACATCAGCGAGGCAGAGGAACAGCGGGAGCCTGCTCCCAGTGCGCGCTTGCGCAGAGTTGCCAGAAGATAAGAGTTAAGACAAAAGGGGTGACTCGAGAGTAAGGCTTAGAGATGATTGGCACCTCCCATAAGACATAAAGGAGGTGCAAAAGTTCATGAGCCTCTGCAGGAAGCAACTTTGTTCGTTCTGGTCAGTTTAAAATCTGAAGCTCCCTGTTGACTTTGTGCTCTGTTTGGTCTTGTACAGCTAATTGGTGATTTAGTCATTGGCAGCATTTCAAGGGAGATAAAGGTGGATGCTTATCAGACTTATATACCACTGTGGCATAAAGACTGTGGCAGACTTCTGTTGGACTATTCATAAACTCTTTGGGACTCATTATGGGCTGTGGATGCATATAATTCACAGCCATTGAAATTAAAAAAAAAAAGGGGGGGTGGAAACAGTGTGTGATTGTTACTGTGTCAGGAAGCCTTGGTCAAAACAGATGGGCTTACTCTGAAGCTTTGGATATAGTTAATGACTGGCTTCCCTTACGCTGGTGCCATTGATTTTATCGACAAGAAAGGAAGACAACAGAATACGCCGCAAAGGAAAAAAATAGAGGCAGGAGTTTAGAGTGGTGTTAAGAGGAGGGGTTCACTTTGTCTGTCTGGGGAGGAGAACATCTGGAAAGCTTCTTCCACTCCTGGCTGGTTCCCTCCCCCCCCAAATCCCTCCCAATTGGCCTAGGCATATTGGTGCTGCAATTGTTAAAGATGCCAAGTGTAATGGTATGGGAGACACAGCAATGATAGGCAGTAGAGGGAACTGTCAGATACAAGACAGGTTACTCCAGAGCAGAGATGTGGGTGGAATAATAGACTCCGAAGAGACTGTCCCTAGTTTTTGGCAAAAACTGACCAGGAAGGGAAATATTTTCAGGTCTGCAAGATTGATTTCAGCTCTAGGGTTTAGACTAGATAGGAAACATGAGCAGATGAGCGAATTCTACATTATTGTAAGGTTACCTTAACACAATCTTGAAGTCTGAAAGTACTTCAGTTTACTTCAGAGAGGAAATGAACATTCAAAAGAAACTGATTCCTCCTTAACTGTCTTGGATGCAAGAAGGAGGGAAGAGTTGAAATAATAATCAAGCTTCCAAGATTTGGAAACTAGGGCTTTGTAGGCAGGAAGGAGAAGTGGAGAAATGCAATATTTTTCATTTTAATTTTCTTTCAAAAGTCACTTTTTCCACCTCCCCCGATTTTTGTTCTTTTTTAAATTGCCATCAACTGTTTTTCATTTTCTAACTACATAGATAGTTCTTCCCCTTAAGAGTCTATACCCAAACCACTGTTTCAAGACTCTTAATGGCACACTCATTCCCATGTAATAGCCTACCCCATCCTCTTCCTTTCCACTTTCCCCACCATCAGCCAAGAGCAGGGTCTTCACATCATGTGTCCAAAGGAAGATAATTTGAGCCTGGACACTTGAGCGTCCATGAAAACTCTGGGTTGATTGGTTAATGGTCCATCAGTTTGAGTCCACGGTATTCTTGGGATCTTCTCCAACCTTAACATTTACAGTGCCAGACAAAGCTGAGAAGCATCCCAATCTCTCTTTTCCTTTCCAGATAATCTGCACAGAACAAAGAGCAACGATGGGCAATGAAATTACAAGGGATTTTATCTGGAGAGAATTTGAAGAATTCAGGAGAGATTTGAGTCAAGGCAGCATTCATGAACTGGCTGATAACTACCAAAAACATTTAAATGAGATGCAAAATCTGCCCCTTAATATTGCAGTCACTGGGCAGGCAGGTGCTGGCAAATCCTCCTTTGTCAATGCCTTCCGGGGTGTAATGGATGGTGATGATGAGGCGGCTGAGACTGGGGCAGTAGAAGGAACCAAAGAGCCAAAGGCATATCCCCACCCCTCTTGTCCCAATATCCTAATATGGGACTTTCCAGGAATTGGAACACCTATGTTTAAAGAAGCCGAATATGTGCAGAAAGTCCAATTTGAAAGATATGATGTCTTTATTATGGTTACCGCTGACCGCTTTACTGAAAACGATGCTTTGCTGGCAAAAGAAATACACAAAATGGGAAAGAAGTTTTATTATGTACGTAGCAAAATTGATATTAGTATCGAAGGTGAAATGAGGAAAAAGAATTTCAATATGGAGAAAACCCTGGCATGTATAAGGGACTATTGTGAAAATAGTTTGAGAAAGGCAGGTGGTCCCTCTGCAAGAGTATTTCTGATCTCCAATTGGAAGGCAGACAAGTATGATTTCCCTCTCCTGCAAGAGACAATAATTGCTGAACTTCCGAACTACCAGAAGCAGATTTTAACACTGGCTGTGCATCTTTTCTCAGAAAATGAATTGATGAAGAAAAAAGAGCTGATGAAATCATATATAAAGAAGGTGGCATTGGTATCTTGTGTTTGTGGAATGGTGCGTGTTCCAGGTCTCTCTATGTTTTGTGAAATTGGAATATTGCTGGATGCTCTGAAACGTATCTGCAATGCATTTGGCTTAGACGAACAGACCCTTCATTTTCTTGCACTTCAGACAGGAAAAGAATATGAAGAGTTGAGGTCAGCTATCAAGAAAACCCCATTAGTCAGCACAATAAACAAAGAACTCGTATTTTCTCTATTGAAGAAGTCAGCTCTTTGGGTAAATGTGTCGATTGTGGAAATAGCGTTTACTTTTATACCTGTTATTGGGTCTGTGTTTGGTGGAGCAAGTTCATATGCGATCACATACTATTTTCTTAACAGCTTTCTGGATGATGCGATGGAAGATGCACAAAATGTTAGAGCAAAGCTTCTTGAGTGATCAGAGTCCCAAGGAAAGCAGACAACCTCTTCCCCTTGAAGGAGACAGTGAAGTATTTCATTCAAATGAGAGTAAGGGGCAATAAAATAATAATGTTTCAATAGCTTATTAGAACTACCTACTTTCTTTCTTGTTTTAATAATTCTCCAGTTGAAGTATGTGCTTGATTACCCTTAGGACAAATAACTATCTCTGTCTGCAGATGTTTTCATAGGAAGCCGGAAATTTCTTTTTTTTTTTCTTTTCTTTTTTCCTGTTCTTTGTGTAAATAGCAAAACAAAACAGGAGAGACTTTGGTATCAAGCTGAAAATATTAGAATCTTCTTTTAAAAATACCATGAAAGCAACTCAATGCATTCTTCTAATGTTATTAATGTCACACTGAGCATTATTTGTATAACTTCAATAATTATCTGTCCTTCCTTAATTATTATTATTATAACTGAAATATATATTTTCCTGCAATAAAAAGAATTTTGAAAAAAGTTTGAATGCTGGAGTCACTAATCCAATTGAAAGGGATATCACCAGAGAAGGGGTGTGTGTGAGAGAGAGGGGAAGAGGGAGGGAGAGAAAGAGAGAGAGAGAAGGAGGGAGGTATAGAGGGAAGAAGAGGGGGAAGGAGGGAGAAGGAGAGAGAGAGGGAGAGAAACTCAAAGCAAATGGCTCCCTGTAGTTCAGGGTTGAAGTGTGGAGATCAGTGGTGGGATTCAGCCAGTTTGCACCAGTTTGGGAGAACCGGTTGTCAACTTCCTGAGCAGTTTGGTGAACTGGTTGTTGGAAGAAATCATTAAGGCAGAGAACTGGTTGTTAAATTATTTGAATCCCACCACTGGTGGAGACCCAGATACTCTCTAAGCTTGGTGGTTTGCTTGCAGACATTTCATTACACCATGATCAGTGCTTCAAGCAAATAGCCAAGGTCAGAGAACATCAAGGACACCCCAGAATAAGCTCAGCTCTGCACACAGGCCCTCCTGCCATTTGTGCTGATAGAAATCTGACCAGAGATTATTGTTTTCAGTGAAATAATTATTTCTGGTTTTAAAAGCATCTTTACTGTATGACTCACCTAGTTTATTTCAAAGTGTGCAAAAATATTTGGACTTGTCTCCTCAGATGGTTGTGACTCTCTCTTCCCTTTAATTAAGTTGGATTGCTGGAATGAAATTATCCATTCTTGACACATACAAATTGCCACCCTTTTAATATAACCAATTGGAGTACTCATCTCTAATGATCTAAGTGCTAGAGCCCACTGTAACTACATAGCCAAAAAGGCATTAAGAGTTGCTAACCTAATCTTACGTAGCTTTTTCTCTGGTAATATCACACTACTAACTAGAGCATACAAAACATTTGCTAGACCAATACTTGAATACAGCTCATCAGTCTGGAACCCACATTACGTATCTGATATTAGCACAGTTGAGAAAGTCCAGAAATATTTCACAGGAAGAGTTCTCCACTCCTCTACTCGTTGTAGAATACCTTATGCCACCAGACTTGAAATTCTAGACCTAGAAAACCTAGAATTACGCCACCTTCAGTCCGATCTAAGTATAGTATATAAAATCTTATATTGCAATGTCCTACCTGTCAATGAATACTTCAGCTTCAACCATAAAAATACAAGAGCAAACAATAGATACAAACTCAAGGTTAATCTCACCAAACTTGATTGCAGGAAATACAACTTCAGCAACAGAGTGGTCAGTGTCTGGAATACTCTACCTGACTCTGTGGTTTCTTCCCCAAACCCCAAAATCTTTAACCTTAGACTGTCTACTATTGACCTCACCCCTTTCCTAAGAGGTCTGTAGGGGGCGTGCATAAGCACACCAATGTGCCTACCGTCCTCGTCCTATTGTTTCTTTTATTTTTCTTATATGTATCCATTTCATGTATTCATAACTATGTTATACTTATACCTGTTATCTTATAATCACTTGACAAAATAAATAAATAAGTAAATAAGTAAATAAATAATAAATTGGTTGAGATGCTAAATGGGAGAGTTGGAATTAAGGTCATCCTGGAATGGTTGATTCCCATCCCCCCCATAAGTTTCTCCAATGTCACTTTCCTATCTTCATCAGAGCCTGTTTCCACTGGAATCAATTCTGTCTTTTTCTTTAGCTCGTTCTCCTTTTGCCCACTTTTAAAAACTGGTCTTAATCTGTCTGTCCAAGGTCTCAACTTTGTGCAGGTTCTTAGGATTGGGGTCGACTAAACAGCTGTTTCTCAAGGATGCTGTAATGGGAGCCATGGTTGGACTGGGGAAAGGGAGGAACTATTATTGAAGCAGGGAGAGAAAAGATCTTAAACTGATTCCACCTTAACTATCCTGGGTGAAAGAAAGAGAAAGGGAAAGATGGTCTCATCAGGCTTCCAAGATTCAGTAACTAGAGCAAGTAGAGTTCTCAGCATTCTTGTAAAACCTGTTTTCTGGCCTGGCCAACTGAACATGCCCAACCCAAAACTGACCAGGTTCAATGAAGGGTAGAGAAGAAAAATGGCCGAGAGTCCAAACTGGCACCCCCAGCTTGCCTATGTTCTCAATGTGGGTTGAGGGAAATTCCCCAACCAAGCAGGAAGTGGACTTGCACACATCTGGAGAGTCAATAAAGATAAGTGGAATCAGGCTAAAAATAACACTAAGGCACACCACAACTCCCTTTTCCTGTCTCCCTGACAGGATAGGAGCCTCTGTGGTGAGTGGTTAGAGCGCAGTACTGCAAGCTACTTCTGTTACAGCCAGCTGCCTAAAATTTGGCAGTTCAAATCCCACCAGACTCAAGGTTGACTCAGCCTTCCACCCTTCCAAGGTGGGTAAAATGAGGACCCAGATTGTTGGGGGCCATATGCTGACTCTGTAAACTGCTTAGAGAGGGCTGTAAAGCACTATAAAAGTGGTATATAAGTCTAAGTGCTATTGCTATTAACCCTTAGGACAGGAAAAACAAAAGACCCCAGACCAAGATTAACCCAGTAAAACAGGAAAACAAAACCTAGGGCAATCAGAAACCCATCAAAACCCATCAAGCTGCAGGAGCTTCAAAGGGAATTAAGCATAAACGGCCCAGAGTCACACTCCCAGTCTTTCTTGCAAGCTAGGAATGCTGGAACTGTGTTACTTTTGCTTCTTGCCTTCCTACATTAAAGGAATTCTGCTTTCTGGCAGCTGGCTTCTGAATCCATTTGTTCTTAGCATCAATGACTATGTCTTGGCTGGGAAACAAACACAGGAATTTTTTTTCCAACAGTTGCTATTGCACCCTATTCAGACTGGGAATTTTCAGTCTGAAACCAGTGATCTGCAGAAGGGGTACAAATGTATCCTCCATGGTACATTTAAGTTAATTGTCTACTGATCAAAATTACCTCAGAAGGTGAGGTGTCTTACTAGGGGCTATGGTGGATTTCACAGGCATAGAGAATGTGCAGGGAGCCATGACACAACTGAGAAGAATCACAATCTCTC